AAAAAGTTATACGTAAACGTCAAGAATAGTGGTACTTTTCTGTTCACGACAGTTTCCCCTGCCACTGTAGAGAAATTTATTAATCGCATCAAAAGTCATGCTAAAGGCTCAGATGGCATCACAATTGATATGATCCGTATAATACAAAAGCATTTGCTCAAGTATATTACCTTCATTATTAACTTTTGTATAACAAATAATCTTTATCCCTCTTCCTGGAAGAATGCTCTTGTTCTCCCTCTGCCTAAATCTAATTATCCTTCAAGTTTTTCTGATCTTCGTCCTATAAGCATTTTACCAAGTTTATCTAAGCTTTTGGAAATGGCTCTACATGAGCAGCTGCACACATTTGTTTGTCAAAATAATTTACTGACCACCTCCCAATCTGGCTTCAGACCATTACATAGCACCACCACTGCGCTCCTGTCTATATCGGATAATATTTATAGCGCGGTTGATCAAGGAAAGCTGTCCTGCTTAGTTCTTCTTGATTTTAGCAAGGCCTTCGATACGGTTGACCCAAATATTCTCTGTAAAAAGCTTAGATACTTTGGCCTGTCATCATCGGCTTGCACGCTGATTAAGAGCTTTTTAACTGATCGCTCACAGTCTGTCATATATGAAAACAATATATCAACTTCTTTATTCAGAAATTTTGGTGTCCCTCAAGGATCTATTTTGAGTCCCCTTTTATTTGCTCTTTATATATGTGATTTTCATGAAACCGCCAGCAACTCAATCGTTCATCATTACGCCGATGATACCCAACTTTATAACTGCTTCGATCCTGATGAATATATGCTTGGCCAACATCAAATAAATCAAGACCTGCAGTCTATTTTTGACATATCTAGTGCTCACAATCTAAAACTAAATCCTGGCAAATCATGCTGCATTTTATTTGGGCCCAAAAAGAATCGTGAAATAAATCAATATCGCATTAATATTATGGTGAATAATGAAGACATATCCTTCGTAAACGAATGCAAAAACCTTGGTATCTGGTTTGACTGCAAGCTACGCTTCACTAAACATGTTAACCAACTATGCAATGCGTCCTATAATGTGCTTCGTCAGTTATACCCGAGTCGAAGTGTCCTGTCGACACAGCTCAAGCTTAAACTCTGCGAGTCCCTTATCCTGTCAAAATTATCTTACGGTGACTCTGTTTATGGACCTGCTCTTTTACAACGTGATGCCGAGCGGATTCAGATGATACAAAACTCATGCATCAGATTTTCTTATGGAATCCGTAAATTTGATCATATTAGTAGCGCTTTTGACCAATCGGGATGGTTTAAGATGAACAAATTGAGGAAACTGCATTGCCTATCTTTGGTACATAAGACCCTTATCCTTAAAGCGCCATATTATCTTTATACAAAACTAAGCCTCCTCTGCCAGTACGATCAAAGATCCTCTAGGAATAAACTCATCTTACTTATCCCGCGGCATTCGACAGCATTGTTCACACGCAGTTTCTCGTACTGGGCACCCAAACTATATAACTGCTTATCAAGTGAGTATAAAGAATATAGCCTAAGCAATTTTAAAAAAAGGTTAAAGATGAGTTTAAAGCAGTCGGATGGCTAAAATTTTACTTTATGCATATCCACAGGTAATTGATTGTTTCCTTTCTCTGATAAGTGTTATATTCTAAGTTTTTTTTTTCTCTCTCTCTCTATAGTTTGTGTCAATGTTTTCCAGCATAAGCTGACACTCCACCTTTTCGTCACTGTTCCTTTTAAATCAATTATTTTGTAATCGTGTGACGAATAAAGGCCATTTATTATTATTATTATTATTATTAATTTTGACATTTGTATTTTTTCAGGATCTGATACACATATTACAGACATACGTATTGTGTAGGTATGTGTAAAAACTGTAAATTATTTGGTAATAAAGCTAGTAATTTTCATTTGAACAGATTGTTTTTTATATAATTATTTAGAACAGCAAGTTGAATTTCATTTAATTTGGTAAGTGTGGCTGTACTGTCTTCTTCTTGCTGAAAATAACGTTGCAACTTTTTCATGCAGTCTAATGCCTCCTTAGTTGTCCCTGGAAGCTCTTCTTCGTCGTTGTATTCTACTTCGTCCTCCTGTTCGTTATCAACCTCCTTCATTAACCAAGTTGGAGTCTGACAATTCCTGTGTTGCTAATAACTTGTTGTCATCATTTACATACTCTTTGTCTAAACACTAAACCAGCATGGCGAAAACAATTACGAATCGTTTCTGGAGTAATCAATTCCCATGCAATAGTAAGCAAATTTATAGCATCTAAAATGGTGACAGCTTTGGTAACGTTGACATCTTCTTGAAGCTCCATAATTTTCATCAACATTATGTTTCCGATACATTTGTTTAAAACTTCAAATGACACCCTGGTCCATTGGTTGCAGAACTGATAAGTTCAGCGTCCCACTTTTTTAAATATTCTTCCAAAATTGATGAAGTCATCCAAGATTTATTATTTCCAACGTAATCGACTGTAATTGTTTTAACATTTTTGAAACACCTGGGATTCTTAAATTTCCCTGAAAGAAAAAAAGGTCATAAATTCTTTGCAGCACTGCCGTTGACTATCAAAAAAAATTAGAACATGAATTTCTATTCATTCACTTACCTTTTATCAATAGTTTCCGTTTATCATAACAGTTATTCACTCTTTTGATAGTTTCCATCCATTGCAAGTTTCACCTGTCAATTTATGAGTTTTGTAAGGTAGCATTCTATAAAATATCCCGGTTTCATGTGCATTGAATATGTTATCATCTGAATAATCATTGGATATTACGGGCCAAAAAACAATGTTATGTCTTTTCTTAAACCTCCAATCAATTTCCCAAATTCTTCAGCCTTTATTTGTAGCATAGGTCCACTTATTGGAAAATTATTAGCACGCTTTAACTTAAACCATTTAAACAGGATATCATCGACTAGGGGATGCAGCGATAGCCACATTTTTTCTTTTGACTATTTGATTTCCAGTCACTTTTAATTTTGTCACGGTTTTTCCAAATATTTGAGACGGTGGATTCTTTTATAGCCATACGAGCACATATATATTTGCTTGCGATGAACCCTGCTCAAGCACACTAATTATTGTGAACTTTTCGTTTAAAGTAAATACACGTTTCGCACTTTTCGAGATGTTTATAACTCTAATAAATACAGTATAACACTGGTGGCCAAGTTCGAATGCAAGCTGCGAAGCCAAACCGCCGTAAACGATTGCATCATCTAAATCTGCTTCAGGGAACTACCAAAATAGCTGGCATATAATGGATTAGAATAGTCCGCTATAATATAATAAACCATGATGGACTGCTGGAACAAAAATGTTTGCAATGTGCAAGCGTGCTTACTTCTAAACCTGTTCCTTGCCTACGCTGGACTGCTGGATCAAACCTGATCACTCATTAATCCCTTCTAGATAATTTGGTTTCCCATCTCTAACTTTTTTCTGTCGATGGAGGGCCTTTGAATTAGTTAAATATCAGTTTGTCGATTCTTCATGAATTGAAGTTGGAAAAACGGTATTTTTCGTTTTAGTAAGCAGGGTTAGATATTACTGAAAGTTTAGCTATACAATTTATGCAAATATACAATTACTAAAATAGAAAATTGACATTTTTTAAACAGTTATTTTAAATACACAATTTTCCCGCTGCCACGCACAGGCTGGGCTTGACATCTGAAGAGCTTCCCACTGTTGCCAAATATACATAAAACTCCTATTTGTACAAGATTTTGGTTAGACTGCATTGCCCTGGACGGCTGGATTTTTGGATAACGGATGTCCTATATTAATGCATTCTGATCCACTTATATCTCAGCTGTAGTATTTCACAACATGCCATACATTGATATTTAAAAATGTGAGGATGTTAATGTGAAAGTAACAACTGGCAGGAAATTGTATCCCTAAATTAGAGATGCGAGATTCGGCAAATATGGACTTGGAGCTGATCCACGGTTGCCAATCTAAAGAAAATATTCTTAGATCTTATACTTTTCTTCTCACATTTTCCTGGTGATCCCTTATTACTTTTTTACACACAACTATAGTATTGTGTTACCGAAATTAAGATGATTTGCTGTATTATGTTCAACATCCACGTGTTACTCACCTGTCTATCTGTTGTCAACTTTGTCAGTACTTAATCCCAATTAGCTCAGCTGGCTTAGTAGGCACTCAACCAATGTCACTTAAATCTGGACGATTTGCCGTGGGACTGGTGCGCTCATTGTAACTGACGTTTTTTGATATTTTAAGCACGGTATGCAGCAAAATTATTACATGAGAAAAATTGCCCGTGTTCAAAACTTAAAAACGTTTGCAAGCCAACCGCAGGGTTGTTACGAAAAAAAAACCGGTGAGGTTCAAATTTGACTCTCTCGTACAAGTTACGACGTCAGTGGTACTTGGATTTCGCTTTATAATATAAAAACAAACGATAAAATGTCAACCTGTTGACTAGATATAGCTGGTATTGTGCAAACAGTTCATAGTTGGCATCTTGTGGGAAAACCTACATAATGTCAAAAAACCACATAATGTTACTCTTCAAGTTACTTAGGCCCGTATCGTCAGTCGTCCCTACAATTGTAGGGCGCGTTTATGGCCTCCTTGATTGTCATACTTCTTCCTCTCCTTCAACAATTTCTAGATTACAGTTGTCCCGTGTCAGCGTCAGCGCTCTCCTATTGTGAAGATTTGTTTTCTTTTTAAATTGTAGGAAATTTCAGGCTGATAAAACATGATATAACTCAAAAGCAAGCACAATTTGATGCAAATAGATGTTTGTGACATAACCTCAAAATAGAGCGCTGTCACGGAGAAGTAGAAAACTATGACAATCAAGGAGGCCATAAAGATGCCCTACAATTATTGTAGGGACGACTGACGATACGGGCCTTAATACTCCTGCCGTTCTTCAACTATTCGGTGAGAAGTGGTTGACACTTGGCAACGTCGCTTTTTGATATGGACGTCAATCGATGGCGTTTCCGCTGTATTTATATGAATCCGGAATCCGCCATCTTTCAATTCTGGCTAAACCTGGTTAACGTAGTCTCGTTTAGAAAATCGTTTTTTGTGTTCATTACGGGATTATTACGTTATTGAGTTCTCAAAAGTAGCAGGTTTTGAAGATTATCAGTAGGAGATTATACAAAGGTAGGTTAATAGCCGTTAATGGTATTTTAGTTCTTGAAAACAGCGAATGCTTTGGTGGCATGCATCGGAGTTCGAGAAGCCGGGTCATTTTGTAAACCAAACTATAATTGTAAATAAATCCCCAAAGCTTTCAAATATTCAGTTCAGATTTATATTTTTTCATTATTATCACGACACCTGTTGCGAACGATAGAAATTGACCTATAATGCTATAGACAATATTTTTTCCGGGTGGCTTCTGCTTTTTCGATCTGTGAACAGCTTGGGTGCCATTTTAAAGTTGGGTCAGTGGTCGGACAGTTTAGACAAAAGTGGAATACAAAGTGTAATTATTGCGAATTTTGTATTCAAGATAACACATCTAATGGTTTTGGAGGTGATCATATATTTTAAGTTGTATGTATGACTTTTCGCCTACAATAAATACATTGCATATAGATATTCCTGTAATTTTATAATCCTATTTTATAATAAAAATATTAATCAATAAGGTGCTATTTTGCCGGTACTTCGACAGAAGGTGCTACGTACTAGTCGGCCGGCTAGTTTCCAAATCTAGATTTGATTGGCCAGTTTTAGACAGAACCGTATTCAAAAATTTGTAACATAGTCTAATCGGACGGCTTCTTGCAGAAAGGCATCAGCTCATTAATTAAGAAAAATCTAGATTTTTAGGAAAATAAATAAGCATATAACTTATAAATTGTTTAGTGTTATATACCCAGATTTAAAGCCTTTAGTATGCCATTAATTAAAATCGTTTTTGGTCTATAATGAATTTTTTTCATTGTCAAAACTTGCCTAATTGCTCAATAATTGTTTTTCTAGGTTGGTTCCTTTCTGGAAAAACCAGTCCAATCATGCATGAGATAGTGCAAAGCACTATCTGTGCATCTTGTTTAATAGTCTAATCATATTACCAAATTTCCCCGAAATAATTGTAAACTCTAAGTTTATTGGTGCAAGTTGTTCAACGGGGTATTTAAAACATGGACACATAAAATGGGTACACCAATCTTTGTGGGAAAACTTTTTATTGGACAATATAGAATGAGAAAACAGTATTTGGTATTCAATCGAAAGTGTTGGCAGGAATGAAATACCTTATATAATATTTTTAGGTATTTATGAGACCTAAAAAATGAGACCACACATAAACCAACTAATAGCAAAAATGTTTTGACTGAAAAATGGCAAAATGCAGGTTTTGGCACTTGTTGGTAATGTGACGATAATTTCACATAACTACTTGGAATTCTTCAAATCTGTAGGATTCATACTTCTAAATAACAACAAAATTGGAATATATTGGTCAAGTAGTTTTATGAGAATTTCTAATTGTTTATCCCAAAACACCTGTTTTCCTGCCATCACTACTAGTTTATTGAGCAATATACAGGGTTTGTTCAAAGAGCATTTAATAGCAAAAGACATGTGTTTACCATGCCAATATGAATTACAAACCATTCTGAAAGATAAATGTTATTTTTATGCAAAAAACAAAGGTTTCATTTTTTCTAAACAAATTCAAACATATGTTACTATACACATTTTAAAACAAAGTGGATGTGTCTATCAGCTTTTGTTGCAAGTTACTCAAAAATACAAAATACTTGAATTTGTTTAGAAGTAAAAATGTAACCCTTCCTTATTTATTTATTCATTTAAACTCTTACAAACACATTTGAATGTAGTTACATGTATGAGTGCTGACTGGCTAGTAGAGGAACAGAGAGCATAAAAATAACATAACAAGGTTAACTAGTGTATATTGCTATAAAATAATGAACTATTGATCGACCAGCCAAAGATTGCTAGGGACGAAAGGGGGAAATGCGATGAAAAAACCTTACCATTAGACGATTTTATATGGAGTCATAGGCGGAGATCGGAGAGACTTGAATTATTAATTGAATTTATATTTTATTACAACTGGTAGTATTAATATTTTTTTGCGATTCATAATGACGTGATACCAAACATACATTATAAGAAATAAATATACACAAACACTGAATATTGAGAACAAAATAAATATATTTTTTAGGCAACAAGTAATATTCCTATGTACGCATTATGATTGAACAGCAAAACAAATTATGCATTCTTCTAAAATAGAATACAACAAGTCAAAAATATCTGACTGAATAGAAAAATATAGGAAAACAAAAAGTAATTTCTTGATGAAATAACCCATAAACAACACATAGAATTAGACTTTCTACTGAGATACTAAAAGCCACAAACCAATAGTATAATAAATGAATATCTAAAAATTCTAAAAGGTAGCCAATCTAGTATAGTTTCAATCCTGATTAGAGTCATGATCACTGTCTGAGGAACTGTCATTGCTATCACTTTCACCTCCTATGTTGATTATTATTTCTTCCTGTATTTCTTGAATGAGACTGTCTTTTTCCCAATATTCATCTTCAATTTTTATAACATGTCCAATAACCTTTTGCCAGTCACTGGCACTTACTGAAGCGATGGCCTTATTAGAAATTTCATCTAGTTTTTTTATAGTAAATTCGCCGCTTGTATTATGGCTTCTAATGAAAAATTTTACTTGTGCCCAAATCATCTCTATGGGATTAAACTGACACATATAGGGTGGCGTTCGAAGTGGGGTGTGTCCGAAACTTCTTATTAAATTATCTATCTTATAATTTTTCTCATCAGATGGTGGCCTATGTAGACAAGCTATTTCATAAAGCTCCATTTTTTTAGCATTAGGATCATGCTCTATACCTTTTTTGCTCAACCACGTGATGATGTCTCTTTTTAGAGAAGATCTAGTTGGAGGCTTGTCTTCCAAAGCTGAATGGTAAGGTGCATTATCCATTATTATAATACTATTAGGAGGAATGTTAGGAAATAGTTTTTCAGTAAGCCACTTCGTGAAATTTTCTTGGTTCATTTGACCGTGATAATCACCAGTGGCACAGCCAGCCTTGAAAATGAGACAGGCTCCAGGAACAAAACCATCTTGCGAACCCGCATGAACAATTATAAGTCGTCCTGGAAATGAATAAATAGCCTCATTTTAGTGTTATTTTAAGTTTGCCAACACCTTTTTGAATCACTATGTATAAAAAACATATTTTTGAGAAAAAAATACTTGCAAGGGATTATGTATTCAATTAGACAAATTAAATGAGCACTTATTAAGAATATTCCAAAATTGAGAAAAATGTATAATAAGCAAAATCGAGGTGAAAGAAACTTTATTACCTGTAGAACTTATATTGCTCAGGACACCCATAATTTCTTCGCTTTGCCAGCATTTCTTGAAAGTGAGGTCATTATCAACCCAAGTTTCGTCCAAATAAATAATATGCCTTCCTTCTTCCCGGAACTTTTTAATAGACCTAAGATACTTGTATCGCCAATGTAAAATACTGGGTCTTTCCATTAGTAATTTCCTTTTGTTGTGGCATTTACGCCAGTAAAATCCTTTTGCTTTTAAAAGCAGCCTCAACGATTCTTTACCAAATGGAAATTCCATTTCTTCCTTCAGTTTGATTAGAAGTTTACTACAAGTAGGTACCACTTTAAAATCACAGTAAAATTTTTCTATCATTCTCCGAATAATGGAAAAATCGACTCCATCAATTTTTTGGATCACAGAAGGGCGTGATCTCTTTTTTCCGGGAGAAGCTAAAGGCTGTGTGGAGGTTGCATTTTGCCTGTCTTTATCTTCTTTTCTAATTTTACTTATAGTTCGTTCACTAACACCCGTATAATATGCCGCCCTTGCATTTCTAGCTACCAGTGGATAAACGAAAGTATTGTTAGCCGCTTCTGCATCGCAAGCACGTATCACGTTTGCTATTATTTCCCTTGCCTGGCTGTGAATAACTTTCCCATGCTTGAATTCCATTATCACCACTAAACAGTAAATTATATTTTCAAAGTATTTGCCAACTGCCTACGCCTATGGGAGTAGGTTTATAAATGACCGTGCCATCGGCACGTTATTCTAGTTTCAGATAAGATAAGAGTTTTGGACCAATCAGCGACCGGATGTTTACCTGCGGCCTGGGTTTTCCAGCTACATTGCCAAATTCAGCGGAACAATTCTATATCTTAAATATGTTAATATGTATGGACCGCATTTTATGTAGAACATCTGACAACTTCGCAATTTTTTGTCCGCATTCTTTCGGCTTGCAATCTTTCGCTGGTCCAACAGTAGTAGTGATGGCTGGAAAACAGGTGTTTTGAGAAAAACAATTAGAAATTCTCCAAAACTACTTAACCAATCTACTCCAATTTTGTTGTGGCTATTTAGAAGTCTGAAGTGTACAGATTTGGAGAATTTCAAGTAGCTGCATGAAATGGAAACCTGCATTTTGTCTCAGTTTTCGGCAATAACCTTTTTACTATTGTGGGATCTTTTTATGTGGGGTCTCATCAAAACCTAAAAATCTTATATGAAAAGTTTTTTCGTTCCTGCCAATGATTGAATAAAAAAAACACGTTTTCTCATTCTTTGTTGTTGAATAAAAATTTTTCCTACAACAATTTTATGCATCCATGTTTTAAATACCCCTTTGAACAACTTGCATCGATAAAAGCGGACTTTACAATTATTTCTCAAACCAGGGGTATTTTCATCTAATATGATTAGACTAATAGTGATAGACGTTGAGAAAAAGAAATTAAATACACTCATACTGAGTCCATTTATTATAGGTATTTTCATAGAAAATGCTTACAAACTAGATAAAAATGAACATTAAACTAATTTTTCCTTTAATCTGGTCCTGCACTGTTGACTACCATACTGTTTACATATTTTCAGCGATTTATCACATTTTTTACTGCCTTCACTATATATACAGAATTTTTTTTTTTTTTTTTGTATCCGTTCCTGAAAGTGGAAATTTGAAAGTCGCATGAAACACTAGCGGGAAAATTGAAGTAGCTGGTTTATGAAAATTCGTCCATTCCAGTAGTTGAACACAATATCACTAGCCATAATCCACATTATTTGTTATCTTTTGCTGTCTGTCTACCAGCTGGAGCTTCAGTGGTATTTTGGTTTGTTTAATTCCAGGAAGGATGTTTGATAGTGTCTAAGTTTAAAGAGAAAAAGATAGATTTATAATCACCACACTATTTTGACTAGTATGATGATCCAGTCAGCAGCCACTCCAATCTGACCTCAAAATGTTAAAATAATTTAATAAAATAATATTATTAATTTATTTCATAATTTTTTAATGTCTTCTGCATATGTAACAAAACAGTATTTATATATTGTCAGCTAACAATTCTACTTGCCCTTAAAGTTTGTCACTCGCTACACAAATGATAAAAATTGAGGAATCGAATGCATGCTGTTTTTGAGGCACTAATACTATGTTATCAATATGACAACTGTGGACGTGAAAGTGTTGTAAACTGTCACAAATTAGTTGATAAATCTGGTACCCATTAGCAGCAATCATAATATTTAAAATATTCAAGTTTTTACCAATAGTATAAAATTTTGTACAACTACTGGCGGTGTCTGGTTTACTGGCACATTCACGCTATCTAGTTGTAATTTCTTCCTGAGTGGTTACTTTGGTGATCATTAAATCTGTTTTCCTAGTGAACCCATGTTGTTTAAAAAATATGGTGAAAGACACAGACTTATTGCTTTAGGGCTGTATTATCAGTCGTTCCCACAATTGTAGGACGCCTTTATGGCCACCTTGATTTCCATATTTTTCTACTGCTCCCTTTCAGCACCCTATTTTGAGGTGATGTTACAAATATCTATTTGCATCAAATTGTTATATTTCAAATTTATATCACCTATTATATCAGCCTGAAATTTCCTGCAATTCAAAAAGAAAACATAGCCTCACAATAGGAGAGTGCTAACTCTGACATGGAATATTAGAATTCTAGAAATATGCCATGAAAATCAAGTATGCCATAAAGGCATCCTACAATTGTAGGAACGACTGACGATACGGCCCTTAATTCATCCAACTAAATCTATTTTTCAGCAGTTTCTTTGTAGTAGTGACAATAGAGATTTTCATTTTTTCTGTTTTATACTGATAGGTTTGAGCCATGAGGGGTCGCGGTGGTCCTAGGGGATCTTACTATAGAGGCTCTAGTAGAGGGAGCTCTTGGGGAAACAGTCGTGGCAGGTAACATGACAAGTCTTTTCTTATAGCTATATGTACCTAATTCTTATGGAGCATCTAAACAGGCACTTTTTTTTAGTAATATTTGGCTACAACTATGGCAACTGTAGCTTAGCCATCATGACTATATTGCGGCATATATGGGCTTAGCTATATATCTCATCTATATAATAATCAGGCAGCAGTGGTGGCCGCAGTAGAAGACTCTTTGGTCTCCTGATCAGTCGCCGTGCGCTGTGCGAGGAGAAATTTTTGTCTTGGCTTGGATGTAATTGTCCGTAGGTGGTAGACGGTCTCTGACTAGGGTACCACCCGGCGGATCTCGTCGGCGGAGCCAGAATGTGTGCATGTTGCATGCACACGTGTTCCCTCGCCAGAATCCGTGTGGCGTTCCCCCTTTCCCCTGTATCCCCCTATAGCCCCATGGTACCCAATGGGTGTTTAGGCCTTCCTGGTAGTTGGAGTATAAAAAAAATAACATATGAACAATATCAGGGATAGTGGCGACTCGCTTTTTTTCACTATTTTCGCTCTCGCTATACATTTTGTAGTTTATGGAGGTTTTCGAAGGAGTTGTCCTCGCTTTCTCAATCCCCACGAAGTTAAGTAAAGTGTTTTTTTTTTTTTCTATAAAAATGAACGATGACTAAGTTGTTCATGTACAGAAATTACTAGGATTACAACATTGAATTTCATTTTAGCTTTGCTCTAAAAGCACTATATATTTTTGCACTAGAGATTTCGTATTCGGAAACGGTAAGAAATACAAAATCGTTTATGAAGGCAAAGTTGCGCATTTAGGTAACTAATAAAATGTTACTTACATAGTTTGTCAATTTAGAGTATTTTTAGAGAAACAGAAAATACGAATTTACCCTGAACAGTTTTCATTTTCTCCTGTCTTAATTTGAGTTGGATTTCAATATAAATTGAATTAACAGTGGTACTTTTTACAAGTCTTATACAAACAACTTAAACTGAATTTTCAACCAACTAACCTTGACAAATCAAGCTAAAATTTTGTATACTTGTCTGGGTCGTGTGACAATACATAATGAAGTAATTGCCGCCATTTTAAATGCTACATAATGATGATTTATCATTTCCATTGTATATGTATATCAAATGAAACAGCTTAATGATAGAAACACAATGAGCAAATGTCATTCTAAATCCAATACGATGGAGGGCCACAATTTGACTATTTATAATTTCCATAGTCACGCTTGATATAATATGGATCAGATATATATCAGATTAAAGAGCTTGAGAGGTACACGATAAGCAAAATGTTACTTTAAATAAAAAATGTTGACCGCCGCAAGATGGCGTTTATAAATTATATACTTGCCCCTATGATATGGTTATCAACTGAAAGGGATTGATCAAAGAAACACAATAAGCAACGGTACGTCTTTCTAATCCAATATGGCGGACGTTTAATATGAAAATTGATAATGCAATATTAAAGGGTGTGCCAAATAGAAGTTTTTTTTATAATGGAGTGAAATGAATAAAAATTATTTTTTTTATTGGAAAGCTCAAACATTCCCATTGTTTATGGAACATGATATAATTCATATGGCTCCCTCGGCTATGTTAGGCCTAAACACCCATTGGGTACCGTGGGGCTATAGGGGGATACAGGGGAAAGGGGGAACGCCACACGGGCTCTGGCGAGGGAACACGTGTGCATGCAACATGCACACATTCTGGCTCCGCCGGGTGGTACCCTAGTCAGAGACCGTCTACCACCTATGATCAATCACAACATCCATAGCCAAGAGAAAAGTTTCTCCTGGTACGGGATTCGAACCCGCACTGCGCACTGCGACTGATCAGGAGACCGAAGAGTCTACTACTGCTGCCACCGCTGCTCCAGATAAGTGAGATAAAGTACAAAATCAGGCAAGAATGACTGACAAAATTGTAGGTATTGTAGTAGCTTACATTATTTACATTACATTAAATGCAGTAAAAATATTGCCTGTTCAGACACCATTTTTATGACCTACCTACATCAAAATTTTGCCTCATTTTCCTTACAATATTTATTTTCATGTGTTCTCTTAATTATAAATAGCTACAGGGGCCATGATGGTGGAGGTAGGGGAGGAAGATACATGTCAGGATCAGATAGAAGTTTTGATAACAGGAGCAAATATGGAGGCTCTTCTGAAAGGTTCTCTTCTTCAAGACCGTCTCACTCTGACGAGTACAAGTCCTATAGATCAGTAAGTAAAATTGATGTATTTTAATTTATAATTATATCACCTATATTTAATTCTACAATGGACCTGAAAAAAAAAACTGATTTTTATTTTTTCTTTCTCTTTAGGAATCCAGCTATATGGGACGTGATGGTGGTAGAAGGCCATCTCCTGATAGAAAAAGAATACGGATGGAGGTAAGTAAGAAGTTTATGACATGTTTAATTTCATAGGCCTTGAAGAGACCAACAGTGATGCAACAGAAAAGATATGGTGCAGAGAAAATATGGTGCAAGTTATGAAGTTAATGGGAAGCCAGATCTCTAAAAATAAAATATTGATTTGTGGATGCTACAATACAATCCCCAATTTTGATGATTCCATAGTTAGTATGAAAACATCAGTACAAATATATGCATGATTGTATGAAAAGGCATACATTAGATACTTTTTGAAAATGAAAATACCCAAAAAAACTCTAAACCAAATGTTATCGAATCCGATTTTAATAAAAAAAAAATACTAGAAATTCTGTTTTAGTCTGTTGAAATTAAGATTTTCCATATGAATAATTAGTCGAGGAAAAAACTGTACTTATATTGCTGCATTACAAAGAGGATGTTAATATACTATAGATGAAAGAGGTAATGCAGTGGATATTTCTGTGCAAAAAAGACTAGTGTACAAGACTTTACCCATATGTCATCACATCCATATAATTATATACTTATAGCAATGCAAAATAATGTGAACAATAGAATGCTGCTTGAATAAACTTGTATGGAAAAAGCTGCATAAGAATGCTGCCATTATGGAGCCAAATTGCCATATACAGACGTCGAAAGACAAATCACCCAACAAGCAATCTCTTGATATTTTATCCAGGGTTCCAGCTCAAGACACGAAACTTCTTACAACAGCAGCAGTAGCTACAGGCATGATGGCCCACCCTCTTCTGGTTACCATGAACGCAGTAGTCGCGGATACTCTGGTGAAAGACATGGCCCCCCTGTTTCGTCATCCCTTTATCCACGTAGAGATGACTTCAGAAGCCCTAGAGGCTCTTATAGGGGACGATTGAGCAGCTCCAGAGGGGCTAGGGGCACCAGAGATAGACCTCAAAGGAGACTTGCAGAGGGCTCTTACACTATCAGAAGAAGGTTGCCTCCAAGGATATCTGAATTCAGTCGTAGAGCCAAGATATCAAGGCTGAGAAGGTAAATATTGGAGATACATACAAAAGGCGATTATTTATCACAAAATAGTGTAGTTCTACAGTTGTCCCTGGCGTTGAGAAAGTAAACATTAAATGTGATTCACCACTTATCTAATATTTTTAATAGTCACTTATGTGTTGCTGAGTTATGCTTCTGTGAAGGTTGGATTTTGTCTCTGTTGCTGAACAGCAAGAATCCGTATTGTATAGTTACACTTTGTCACCAGTTTAGGTGAGGACATATTTGCATGCTGTTACTACACCAGTTGATCTTCATTGGGGTACCAGATGACAACTCCACTGCAGAAATGGATCTTTATGTTATTTGTTATCATTTTATAGCACAGGTGTGATTGACAGAAAGTTTGATGCACTAACACTGCTTTCACACAATTTTATGCAAGATTTTCTGCTGATATGGTGTTTTATACGAATTTTAAACTAACACCTTGATGCAATCATAAAGACTCCATGTGAAGCTGTCGAGCATTTTGCATGGTTTCTTATAAAATATCTGTATAGGCTTCAAAGAGAAGTGATTTAGTACAGAAAAGATATGATTTACTGAGGTCAGTTTTAATCATGCAAAATGCAATCCATTGGGGCAGTACTCCTTATATGTTGTCCACAGCCCTCAATAGTAATGTTAGTAGTTACAGAAAATCAATCGCCGTGGTTTGAAGGCCATCTAATACTTGGTATGTGAAGACAAAATCATGAGCAACCGAAAAATAACTGAAGATAAATTCTGTAATTTGTATTTTATAAAATACTTCTTCATATGACAAATGAAAAGTGGAGTCTTCTTTTGGAGGTGCAAAAAGTGAATAGTGTAGTAGTTAGCCTTCCATTTCGGAAGAGTTGTCACAGGCAACTGGTAAGATTTTCTTTAATTGGCCTTATGTAGTACTGTGCTCGTCCATAATACAGCTGACCAAATGAACTTGTGATTAAAAAAAAACAGAATTTGTATATCTTTCGACTAGGGACCTAAGTGCCGTGATTTTGGATGATTGCCCTTCCTCCTATACAGAATATAGAAATGATCTTTTGACAAGCCTATTTGCCAACAACGTTCAAGAACCTGAGGGATTAACTCGAGACCAGATGTGTTTCCGAAAATGACATCTAGTTCAAGTTGCTTTTATAGTTGCAAGGTGGTATCAATACAGAAGTTTTTTATTTATGTATCACAATTATGAATATATGTCTTGTGCGTCGTAATGTGACAAGATGTACAAAGGTCACAGTTTCAGGTGAAAATTGTTGTATGAAAATTGATATCTATCATCCTATATAATATTCTGACATTAATTTAAGAAGACATTTTTTGATGGGAGAATGCTTATGATAAAGGGTTATTTACGAAAAAATGTATCCAGAAATAGTATAAAGTGTGTTTCTTTCTGAATTGCATTTGCCATTATAGATCACTGGAAATGTGGGCGAAACTTTAACAGTATATCCAGTACAGTGTGGAATTTTAACATGAAATATTTGGTGTTTTTCTCCTCTGCAGCATGATTGCAGAACGTAGAGCGCCAAAAAGAAGGCTTAGTGAAAGGATGGATTCTGATGACGAAAAGAAAGATGATCAAGAAGGAGAAAGTGAGGAAAAGTCTCCAAAGAAAGAGGGATCCGAGAAGGATGCAAAATCCGAGAGCGGCGAAGACAAGCCAAAGAAAGGTGTTGATTCTTTTGTTATTATATATTGCTACTCTTTATACATGTTTACATTGGATCCATAAAAGGAAGAATGAAAATGTTGTAGATATGCAAATAATGATTTGTAAGCGTATACTGACGTTTAAGCAACACGCACAGCTACAAAACGAGTTCACAAGTGTACAACAGCTTGTGCTAAGTTAACATCTTGTAGAATAACCTACGATATGTCAAAAAAACGACGAAATGTCACTTTTCAACATAAGTAATACTCGTGCCGAAAGATCTCATAGATAATTTTCAGAACATTTGAGTAAGTTTAAGGTTTGTCAATTTTTTTGGCGAGAGACTGCAGTGTAAATCAACAAAGAGTATTAAGTGTTTTTCTAGAAAACAGTCCTGTCAGAAATATATTAATTTTGCGTTATGGCTAGTCCGACCCAGGCGATCTAAATGAGCCAGTTAGACACCATCAGATACTAGTTACTAAGCTGTCAATGTTTCTTTGAATTCTACAGTGACATTCAAAAGTTATCAGTAAAACTCATTTCCAGTAGCGTGCTTTTTATATGATTTGGTTGCATTGTTTTGTCTTGTTCTTTGTGTATACAAGAGATTGACATGTTACTCTGGGACACCTTGTATAGCTATAATAATAACTGCTTATGTTTTCTTCGATTCTCGAAAAATATGTTAACCAATGAGATGATTCAACTTTATTCAAATAGATGCTTCATATTATGGATCCAATGCAAACTATTAACCAGGTGGTATCTAAATGGTTTTTGCTTTCCAGGGTCAGGTTTCATCAAGCTGCACTGCGTCCACTGCGGTTTCAAATCGTTAACGTTCCACCGCTACGAAACGCATCTCCGTCAGAAGATGCACGTAATGGCGATGCGTCGACTCGCCTACAGGCAGAAAAACATCTTAGCGCAGATGCGTCATGCGCAACGCAGTACTCAAAATGAAATTGAAAAGGAGGACGATGACCTTACTGACACTACTCATTACTGCATGTTGTGCAAGCTCAACTACAAGCAGAAGAAGAGCGTCCACCAGCTGTCAGAGTCCCATAAGAACATGAAGAAGTTCCTTATGCCTACGTGCAAGGTAATAATAATCCTTTATTAATAGCACTAGGCTAGCAGTAAATTTACATCACATATAAACTACACAACATTTTAATATACTCCTTACATTATCTTTTAAAACTATTTACATCGCTACAATTTTTGATATAGTCGAGAAATTCATTGTACTGTTTCAGTTTCTTGTAATACACATAGACTGTTTTGGTGAATGTCTATAAATTTAAAATTATCTAATAGATGACTTGGAACTAAATGGTTCAGCTTTTTATCAATGAATCATTTTTATCATTGTATTATAAATTATTTTTTGTCTTACATTTGAAACATTAGTACAGTTTAACATACAGTAGCGGACAAAAGTTTGGAAACAATTATTAACATTCTTATGAAGTATTTCATATACATAAATTAAAATTGTGAAGGAACAGATAATATAAATGTTAAAGTTCACCTTTGTCTCCCGTACTAATACAAAGTTTATCTTATCAATATTCAAATTCTCTGAAAATGAAAACATGCGTTTTTTTAAATACCGCATTTTTTGTAACGACAAAGTATGGAAACATTTCAGTTTGCCGTATTTATTCGTTCTGCGATACTCTGATATTGCGTGCGGTAAATATTAACATCAGTGAGAACGGCAAAAATAAAGAATTTTCAAAAGATTTAAGAGACAAAGTAGTCGAATTATTTAGTGATGTCAGAAATGTTGACGTTTCTCAAAGATTAAAAATGAACAAAGAGACTAAAACTATAAGTAAATATCAAGAATATGGATCAACAGCAACGCGGCCCCCCCAAAAAAAAGAAACGATTGTTTTGGGTCGCTACATTAAACGTTTGTCTCATGAATATCCTCGAATGTTATGCCATCTGTGTAACTCTTTTTGTTCACGATAATACCTACTATTTTTTTTAATTTAAATAACTCTAATTTGCCAAACTGATCCATTTTATGTTAACATCGTATATGTTGTATAAGTTATTAATTTGCTATATTTTCTGATATTTTGCTGATACTATCCAGAAAGAAATTATTAAAACTTACATGGGTCTTTTCCTTCTACGACTATATTCTTAAACGTTATTTCCTTTTTATTAGGTGTGCGACATCGATTTCAAAAGTCCCATGAGCTACGAGGGGCATCTTTGCTCTATTGATCACATGAAGGTAAGTCTAGGCAGTGTTGACTCGTAAATTTAATGATACACGCCAGTAGCTGAAATGAACAAATTGAGTTAATCCGATAGTTAACATGCCTCCAACTTTGACGTCACTCGCAAGTTACTATTCAAGTAATAAATTTTGAATTTGAATTAGACGTGCTTTCCGTTTCCAAGATCATACATATTCTGATTCGGGATTAGTTTTTGATGCACGTTATGTATCATTATTATTGCTGTTTATTAAGTTTATGTTGTTTATTGCTTGCATCTTGATACCATATATGTCTTAAAAATAGTAAAATATTTGTCGGAACCGTAAAGAACTATCACTGTGACAAACTATCCGCACTTGGTGAATGCAGGCGTTAAGCTATGAATGGTAGCATTTCCCATATGACCTTAAGTTCTCTCAAGTTGGGTGACTTATAAACGGACTTTGACTATGACAGTTCTACGAAAAACTTCATATTTAATTTTTTGCAGACAAAGCAAAGGTCGCATATTGCTGGGTCTGACTCTGGCGAGGAGAATGAACTGGAAAACTTCACCACTATTGATGCTGTTGATGGTGGAGATGGTAAGTATCGTATAAGAACAGGACAGCTTGAAGTGTGTCTTTTGCTGCGATGCGTGGTCTGTTTGTTAAAAATTAATAAAAACTTCTTGATTTATAGGATCTGATGCGGAGGAAGCCGAGAAGGAAGTGAAGAAAGAGAAGACAGAGAAGAAAAAATCTGTTTGCGTAGGCATCGAGCAGATCCGTGTGGTCCAAGCTCATTATTGCGACCTGTGCAGGATGTATCTACCGCGCGGCGATGATGAAGAAGAAATGAACAAGATCATAGCCAGGCATTGCAAAATGCGCAACCATATGCAGAAGTAAGAGTACTACTATCTTAACACTGCCTTATACTATATTTGTACGACTTCTAAAGTTTCAAAATAAAGCATTTCAAGTTATCATCGCATCCCCAATATTGACAATTAGTGGTGGATAAATAATGCAGTGTATTAATTTTTATTCTTATTTTCCAATGCAGGTTAGGCGTGTGTATTCACGCTTTATCACCAACATTTAATCAGAAATTTGCTTTCTCTTTAGTAGAGTTGAAATGTACTCATGGTCGTTAGCAACTACATCAGTTGTTTTGTTCTGATTGTATATCGGAAGTTTCATAATTATTTTATGCAAAATGTCTCGCAGAAAAATGTCTGTCGACAGGAAGCATAAAGTAGCATAAGGTATGCCTCTGCCACTTGATGAGCATTTTGAATATCACTAAATAATCAACTATTATTCATTACCAAATTTTGATGTCTTGTGGTATCGTGAAAAACAGTGTTGTCAGATTCGAATGATTGTAGGATATCAATATCCATTATATTTAAAGAAGACAGGAAACCATTGGTCGAGTCGGTACTTATATAAGTTTTTTTATAGTAGAAGAAGCATCCTTGAAATCAGTTTTAGTAGATTATTTGCCTGAAATGTCAGCTGTAAGTGTAAACAATGTGGTGTATTCTGGAATTCCTGTTTTTACTGACATGATCAAACATTTGGTTCCAACTATTGGAAAGTTGCTTTGCAATATGGAAAATTTTACCCAAATTCAAATCTCGATATTTTCTGAACGCAATAAGATATCGAGACTGCACGCCACTGGAGGCAATAACGTTTAATGCTAAAAACTTCCTGTGTAAGAGCCGTTTTGCACACAAGATAATTACTCCGAAAATTATGGTCATAATTATGCCGAAAATTTGCATGGAAAAAATATTGAAGATTTTCTCTACAACTGTACGACACAAGCAAACAAAATTTCCGAGTAATTCATATGATACGCCTGCGCATTAGAGTAATATTTTCGAATGGACATAACCTTAACGGGTATGACGTCCAATATAATCGGAAAGACAACAGACGTCGTTGATTTAAATTTATTTTTGAAATCGAGATCTTGGTTAATATTATAAAACTTCTCAATGCTTGGACTATCGCATCCAGCGCCTGACGCCGCAAATTTCTGCTTTTGTAATTGGGTGACTTCACATTGTACAGGTTTGGCCATTTTTGGTATTCCACCAACAACAGTGTAACTTCTTCCCGATTCCACGACATTATGAATAAACAATAACAATGGACGCTTCTTCGTACGACTCGAACAGGACCACACCCACAAATGTTAAGTGAGGCTATGTTGTTGACGTTGACATTTGATAATGACATGCACGGAAATAACCCTCTGCGGCGATTCTCGCGCATATTCTGTAGACCGGGTTTTATATTTTTACCATGAAAATTTTCATAAGAATTCTTTTACGTGTAATACGACAGCAAAAATTTTCGGCATAATTATGACCATAATTTTCGGAGTAATTCTCTTGTGTGTAAAACGGCTCTAAGTGGATAAATAAAAAGAAACATACGTGTACGTGTTCTCAAAGAGTTGGTTAAGAACCCCCCGAATACCCCTACTCTCTTTCCATTCCGAAAATATTGAGATTTGAATTTGGGTAAAATTTTCCATGTTGCAAACCAACTGTCCACCAGTTTAATTGCAGCACAGTCCGTGAAACAATTCGACCAGCAGCTCATTTCTCGTTTTCGGCCTGATAAATTAGCCGGCTAGGTACGTGGATAAAAGTACCATTCATACCATACTCTAGGAATTTGCCAAACACCGGTTGACATTCCAAATTGTACTGCGTTACTGTCAGACATATCCAATATTTGAGAAAGGAAGATCATGAATGCTTCTTTTATTTGATAATGATGGTAAACAACTAACCGAACCATTTTATTATTTTTTATACCTTTGTAAAAGTACCTCTATGAATCATTTGGTAAAACTGTGTTGGACTTTTAAAATCTTACTGATCAATTTTTCCAATTTTATAGGTATGTCAGACACAAGGAGAGGCAGGCTTTAGAAAAGAAGGCCGAAAAGTTGCAGAGGAAAGAGTTGGAAGAGAAACAAGGGAAAAGTGAGGAAGATGGGGACAAGTTGAAGGAGGAGAAAAAGGTATGTTATAATTGCGATAATATCTGTTGATATATAAAAAATTGATTTGTATTTGCCAATTGTTTGTGGTTTGTTTCAGGATGATAGTAAAGATGGTGAGGATGATAAACTATGGGCTGATGTTGATAAAGATTTGGGTGATATTTTAGCTGAAGCTGAAACTGGAAATAAGAGCTCCGACGAGGATGAGGACGATTCTCACGTTAATGGAGAAAGATATGACAGGTATGTAGTCAGTTGATCAAAGTGTTTCCTAAAAATCTTATTCCTGGTTGCACATCCTTCCTCAAATGTACTGCTTAGCCAAGGTGATCCACATATTATGGTCGACCTCAAATTAGGTTTTTGTTACACGATTCCAAGTTGGTAAAAACTTTAGAGATGATGATATATCGGGTTTTTCACTGCAAACATTTTCATCATGGTGAAGTACCCGAACGAACAACGCTTACAAATAATTAAAATTTACTCGGTAACTGCAACTTGAAGAGCGTTAACACCAATTTTTGGTCGTAATTCTCGTCCCAGTAGACAAGAAATTCATGGTCTAGTAAAAAAGTCCGCAGATCGCTGCTGAATGTTTCCGTGTCAGTGAGGCAACGGGTTGGTCGAAGTGCCGAGGATATTGCTGCCGTTCAAGCTTCCGTCCTAAACGAACAGAACACAGCGTTCTCAAGAATTGGGCATCGCTCAGACTACACTATGGCGAATTTTGAGAAGAGATCATGGGTTTCACCCTTTAAATACTCTCTCAAGACTCACGCGCGGATCAAGGCGTGAAATCGCGGTGCGAATCCCGAACACTGTTCCTACAGTTCCACACTCGCAGATGTTCGCGCCAGCCACACAGTATAGTTCGCGCTCTTGACGTGAAATTGCTACTGCTGCTGCAGGGCTACTTTGCGCTTTGGCAATTTATAATTACGCATATATAAGTAAAACTAAAACAATTGAAAAGAAATGGAAAAAACAACCACTCCCGGCACTCGCTATGAGGCAATTGAGCCACCAGCGAATGTGGAGCCTAGTCATGTTCGCGCCTTGCGAACCCTTTGTCGCGGGACAAAAAACCGTCAACAAACGGGAACAACGCGCGAACGCGACGAGAAGCCGCGAAGAATACGCGAATGGGATCCACGCTCATGGGTCGCGGGTAGTTCGCGCGTGAGCCTAGAGAGGGCATAAGATCAAGTTAACGCAAGAACTAAAGTCGTTCGATCATATAAACCATCGTACGTTCTCGAATTGGGCTCTAGAAATGTTGCAAGAATATTTATTTCATCGCAAAACCGTCTTCAGTGATGAGGCGCATTTTTGGCTAAACGGCTTCGTCAACAAACAGAATACTCGTTATTGGTTATGTGAAAAACCCTCATGTGCTTCAAGAAACAACACCACTTCATCCACAAAAAATATCTGTATGGTATGGTTTTCATGCCTATGGTGTCATTGGACCGTTTTTTTTTCATTTTCGTTGATGAAAATGATCGTCACGTTACAGTCAACGGAGACATGTTGCAACGTTATTTTTTGGTCAATTGGATGGGCTAGACATTAATGATAGGTGGTCTCAACAAGACGGTGCCACAAGCCACACAGCGGATGAAACAATCGATCTATTAAAATCAAAATTCGTTGAACGTGTTATATCGAGAAATGGTCCTGTCGAATGGCCGCCTAGATCGTGTGATTTAACACCTCTAGACTTTTTTTTTGTGGGGCTACATTAAATCATTGGTCCATGCCAACAAACCGGCGTCGTTAGAGGAGCTCAGAGCCAATATTGAACGAGAGATAGCGGCAGTTTCTGTCGAAATGTGTGGCCGAGTCATTGAAAATTGGGTTCAACGAATCAATCGCCGCGAACGTGGCCGTGGTGGACATATGAACGAGGTCGAATTCTGTATATACATTTTTTCAGTATACTTCAATCCAAAATAAAATTTTCGATATATTTCAAATGGTTTCTATAGTACTTTGAGAAATTACAACTGAAAATACAAATTGTTGGTTAACCTGGTTGATGTCTGTGAAATTGTTATCGCATATTGTCACAGTTTGCGTAATTGTATTTCAAAAAGTAATACTAATGGTAGTTGATGCAATTATAAGGGAATTCCAGCCTCGTCAATTAGCTTCAATATGAACAGATATATTTCTTGTATCATGTACAACCTTTGGTATAATATCCTGCTATCATACCCATAATATCCCGTTGCATTCCCGATTTTGCGAGGAATACCATACCCGAACCCAAAGTCCATTTTACGTTATAAAATCCACCTGAAGTAAAGAAATACTTAGCTCAAGTTTTAAGTGCAATTTGTGCAACAAAAATATCTAAATTGTAAAATCGATCTGACGAAGGCCGTGTAACCTGGTCTTGATGTAAGTTGAGTGCATGAAAGTAGAAAAGTAGATTATATTAAATCCATTTTAGCCTACGCTTTGTTGATTCTGTTTGAACCAATGAATTAGTACGGATTAGAAGGGGAAAAAAGCATTGCATCATCGCGAAATTATGTAGTTTTAGTCCCCACTCTTGCTAAGTTGCCTACCAAAGTGACAAACCAATACATCGGCGAACATTTTTTTCTCTGGAGAGAATATTGACATAGGAAATTATGCTAGGTGTACTCACGCATAGTGGGACAGAAATACTACCTGTGTTACAATGTGAATTGCTGACTTATTAGTAATGAACTGGTGGAGATGAAAAATACGAAAAAATGTCAACATACACCAGTAATCGTACATTACCTGATATTGGAGATAGTGGGACTCTGCTTGAATTCAACGTTTTTTTTTTTTTAAATAGATGGTGTGATCTAAGCAGAATCTGGTCAGAATTCGTTGGTTTAAACCATTTTCATTTGCTTCCATATTATTTTTTCTACGTGACTGCATTTAAATGTTGTAGTTTTAATATGTTTCGTTCTTTTATAAATTCGCTTTGCTCGCATGTATGGCCTTTATTAAAGCTCCCTCTTCGCCATTTTTCAAGCGTGACCAATGAAGGGTCCCACTACTTAGGTGAATCTCAAAGTTGTTTTTTTTATAGATGTCTATATTCTTTATTACACATTTGGGTAGTTCTCATACAAATAATTCCTGATTTCTCAATACATTCAAATAGAAAAACAAGTGTAGTTTCACGTTTGTAAGTTGTGTTTAGATACTTAGTAAAGTGCGTTAATGTAACAAAACTAGGGGAACCCATTTAGTAAAGGAATTGTCGCACACTGTCTATTAAAGCAGTCAATATACGGGTTGACATACTTTTATGTTTTTCCGACAATAATCTCGGCAAAATACAAATATGTGATAAAAAGATAATAACTATAAAAAGCAGATCTGATATCTAGCTCAGTAGTGAGACACCCTGTGTAATCCTAAACATTTTTTGAAATGTGTGCCTTGAGCTTAGGCCATCCTTTACCTGTGATGGAATGCGAATACTAAGTACTACATCTCATGTACCAAGGAAACATTACTCTGTAATGTGGCACAGACTGACTAACGCCTGTATCTCAGAAACTACCCGTGGAAAAACTTGCAGTATGTGTTGAGATCCATAACATACAATTTTTTCAAATTAACTGAAACTGTAAGGTTTTTCTGTGGTCTATTTCCGACACGAATTTTATAACCACGATTTTTTGTAATCGTGTGACGAATAAAGGCCATTTATTATTATTATTATTATTATTTTATGGGTAACTCGGAAATAGGATAGTCTTTTTTAAATTACGAAAAATTTTACTGGACAATGTCTTTTTTTGATCATTCTGAACAAAAAAGGTCGTTAGTTGGTTTCTGATAAAGTGGACCGTTTTCGAGTTGTCAGTGATTCAAGTCTGAAGAACCCTATAAATTTTTCGATGCCTTTAACATTATTACTTTTCATGTCGCATGTGTTCTAAAGTTCAAACTGTCCTTTACAAGACATCAGAATATTTTAGATTTAGTTTGCTTTACAGCCTTGTTATTTATATGCCCCGCGTGTCAACTTCTAGCCCGACACCCCATGCTTTTATATTACTTATAACGAGAAAAGGATCATTCTTACTGGTTTGTTACTAAGAACTTTTGTTTGTTTAGAATGATTAAAATAACTCCTGACAACTTTGTCCTTAGCAAAAAAACAGATCACAGAAACAATAAGCGAACTGGATGATTTCTCCCACAAATGCGAGATTTTCGGCTATCTATACTTGTGTAGAGGGATTATACCATTGTAACTGTTTGACAATATTCGTTGTTACTGAGGCTGAATGATATATTTTTGTCATCAAAAGACTTCATGCACAGGACAGAACTATTCTAGTTACATTATATAGTTGAATTTTATTTAGTAGAGAATGGTCTGTTTAGGTTCAAGCTAAGTGAAAAGTTGGATGACGACAAGATAATGAAAGAGGACGAAGAATCAATTTTGGATAACAAACCGGAGTTGAAGGAGAAGCTAACACAATGAACAGTATACCGAATAATTTCTAAATAAACTTTATAGTGTTTGTAAGTTAAATGGTTTATCATTTTCTCGTTTTCCAATTTAGTGGTTGACATATTGTATTTGTATAAGGACTTACTAGTTACATGAATGTCTAATAATCACAAAATAAATATGATATATAGTGTATATTATGTTGTTTTTATGCTTCTGTATATCCCCTGATCTCATCCACCACAAAAATTCAATCATAACTTGACAAATGCATCTTATTGACAAAAGTGAATTGCAGTCAAATTATGGTCAAAAATGCATCCCAAATTGCACCAACAAATTTCACAACCAATTTCCGGATTTTAAGTTGCTTACTTTTATTTCTAAATGACTAACAAATTGCGAAAAACACTTGCATCAAATTTAAAGAACTTCCATTGTTTGAAAATAATGATGAACTAAAGTGTAATAAAAGGAATATGTTCATCTTGCAATATTGCTTCCTTAGTCCGCCTCTGTCTCGTTTTCCATTAGTTCGAATTCCCATATCAAATAACTGATTCTGCCATCTCGACATAGAATAAACCCAGGTAATGCGCGTCCCACACGATGCTTGCAACATTGTATACAACGTTCGACACCCCACAATTGGCTAATGCAAAGAAAAAAGAAAACGTCAGAGGAGGAGGCGGATGCTATCTCTCGATAAAAGTAGAGGTGATGAATGAACAATAAAAAATTGTGTGCAACTCGTGCGATACGTGTTTATATCACACTTGATGGGTTTTCCACTAATATTTTACAACACGTGCAATATATACTTTTTGCACATGTTACATAAATAATAAATTTTTTCTTTATACCAAAATCCAATGTCGTAAGATACCGATTCAAGACGTGACAACGTTGCACGGAATAATGAACTCCGTTATTTTTTTCCAGTTTTCTGGGAAACAGTTTTCGAGCACCGAAATAATTTCGGATCTGTCTTCAGCGACCAAAACTTGACTCTGAGAGAAGCCTCAGAAATGTCGAAAAACGAAGTTTGACCGTTTTTTGTTTGTTTAGTAACCTAGGGACAAATTTTCATCAAAATCCTGATAGTACTTTCAGAGTTATTTAGTTAATCTTTTTCGTTGGTTATGAAATGCAAGTCAATATATTTCTCAACTAGTGTTGCATTGCAACAGGACATTATAATCAAACAACTGTAAGCACTTGATAATTTATAATTTACTAAAATACATAACCGTAGGCCAGCCATAACTCACGTGCAAAACGTACAACATATTAGCAATATGAAAAAAGTGTTGTTATGGCAACATATGCTTAGTATGTATACTAATTTAATTCATTTCCTCAAAAGTTAGTTACGGATACATTATTATGAATCATATTCACTATTCAAATCAAAATCCTTAGCACATACCACTACTTCACAGCAGTGGCGACGCGTGACTTTTCCTACACTTGCCAAAACCAGATGTGAAAAATCTTATTAAAAAAGTAAAAAATGGTAACAACCGACAACCAAGTCGAGGCGAGTCAGCTTCATCGTGTTCGCAAAACCTAGACACTATAGGGCGCATTATTTTCGTGGGGCTAATTTGCTATTTACTGAATTACTATTACATATCGCTGTTGGTAAACAAATAAATGAAATTATTTCACAGTACTTTGTAATAAAATATTTATTTTTAAGATTTTTAACTGTAACGGTAACAATGGTTACATGGACGCTTCGCCACTGCTTCACAGCAAACAAATAAATAATTGTCTTTTAACGCGGGTCAACATGAAATCCGTCAGCGCTCTCCCACGATATGACGAATGGCTATGCGTCCAACGTTGTGAGACATTCGCCACATCGTGTGGCAGCGGTTCAAGCTATTTCCTGTGAGCATCAAGCATAATTTATATTTCGAGTGATAGATGTCACTACACTGTTGCCAGATGTATCCGTATCTTTACAAAATTAAAGGTAAGGTTGAGATGTATATCTATCTCTCTTATCTTCTATACATATACCAGTTAACATTTTTTGGTAATTCTCTAGCTTAACTACACCAGCCATTTTTGATGAAAAAATTAATTTAAGCCCTGGTTTTTTGGTGTAGATGAAATGCCAGAGTTCATTACTTAATAGGTTTTCATGTTGATGGATATTCTTAATAATTTCTACATATGACTTCACACAACCCTACATAATGTCTAATGCACTAGCGACTCAATGGGAATCAAATTTTAGATTTCTTTTTATAATAATGCATTACAGGGTGGCCAAGATAAGGATCAGACTAGGTTGAATTCAGTAACCACACAATCTTACAACAAGCATTTGTTTGCAACGCCTACTTAAATATAATAAAAAAATAGAAAAAAATACGTTCATTTATAACTTAGAGAAAACAAGCCTAACGTGATACATCGTTGAAGTCGTAGAAAAAGATTTGCTATTAGATATAGGGTCAGACAAAAATAAAAACGATTTGGTCAAATCTTGTTTTTTCCCAAATACCTCAGTATATATGACTAAACTCTCAGTGTATGCAATGTGCGCAATTTATTTAAAAAACATAGGATATCAACCCTAACACAAGTAGATGAGTATGCAAGGCTCACCTAGTTGGATGCACATGTATCCTGTTTCCCTCAGCAGAGTTGGAAGTAGACCTAATTTCCACTTTGGAGACAGTTGACACCCACGTCACAACACTAAAACACCAAAGCACCACTGAGAGACAATCGAGAACCCTATAGTAAACACCTTTGTTCAATAAATAGCTCAACCGAATAGAGCTCCGCACGGAGCTGTGAACGCGTGGACATTCCGCTGCGCCGACGGTTGCCGAGAGACTGAAGCGTGTGAGTGCTGTATCTAGCTGCGGCGATACAATACGGTAGGGTAGCACAGCCACGCCCCTTTCCAGCTCCCACTCCGCGCGTCTGCGTTTTCTTATCTGACAGTATCAGGAAGCGACTGGATGTTTACGTTGACGGGAGCGGTCGCGCGGAATGGGAGCTGGAAAGGGGAGTGGCAGCGGAATGTTTATGCGTTCACAGCTCCGTGCAGAGCTCTATTCGGTTTAGCTACTTTTTTTAGTAGTGGTGTTCACTATAGGGTTCTCGATTGTGTCTCAGTGGTGCTTTAGTGCTGTGACGTAGGTGTCAAGTGTATCCAAATTGGAAACTAGGTCTATATCCAACTCTTCTGAGGGAAGCAGGATATACTTGTATGTGAAGCAAACTAGGTGAGCCTTGCTAACTCATCACTTGTTTGTTAGGGTTGCCATCTTATGTTTTTTAAATAAATGAGAATTCGTTTACATTTTTTGCCGATACTCATAAAACGGCTATAAAACCGAGAACCGGAGGAATGAGGGCAGAGACGGATCTGAAAATTTTCAAACATTTTCTCTTCCAAGACTGGATGAGATGATAGATGACTGAATCAAGTTGAAGTAACGTTGATTGCTAGTGTAATTAATTATCTAGACATTAGTTTTCATACTATTAACCAAAATATACATATGTATATGATGGTATATAGCGATTTCAAAGGTGTAAAGTTACTTACCTAAGTTGCTATGTCGAGGAGCCTTCTTCCAGAAACACGCACTTCAAGATCATTCGCCTAAATACATATTTCATTTCACTTTCACACTTTACTTCTTTATTTAAAAAATGTGCTACAAAACTTAATCCTTTTCTTTCGAAGAATATGTTCCAGAGTACTGCTCGGGTTCAGGTTTTTATAGGGCAGTCACATTATGTAGATTCGCTACATTCCTATAAAACTTGGCATTTATAAAAGTGTTCAGAGACAACGTTCCGCTGCATAGACTCCAGGCGACGCAAAATGTAAATAACAACTTTTTTTAGTTTTTTGGCAAATATTGCTACGCCTTAAATTTCATATATCTCTATTGGTATCCCTCAATATTTTATCCAAAGCTTTTTTTATAACATTCTATCAAAATAGCAGAGGTAGCAAAATTGTACGATGAGCTGGCAACGCCGCACTCTAGGTGACAAGATCGTATGTCTATCCCGAGGTAATGACCAAGTCATTTAATTCGTCAAAGTGGCAGTTTTCCAATTCTCATTTGCATTTTTCAAGCGGTGTGCAACGATTTCGAGTAAAATTTCGATACGGATTATCTTCTGGAGTTTAGGAGAGTTTATTTCAATAGTTGTATTGCGTGGTCATGTTATCTTTACTCGGACCTGTTTACCTTATATGCCCTCTCCAGACTGACGCGTGGATCACGGCGTGAAACCTACCGAATTTGAGTGACACTGTCTACCGATTTTGTGTTTTTCGGTCTGGCAACTAGTGATGCAAACTTTCGTTACTTTTTAGGACTTGTAAGGACTCGTTACTTTCGAACTTTGGACTCGTTAGTTTAGTTACTATTTGCACATTTCGTTTAGAACCTACATTCTATATATTATATCAAATTATTACTTTGGGATTGATCCAATTATTATTTTTTGTCTAATGCCTTGCCTATTAATTTTTTTGATTACGTAGAAGGTACTTATATTTTGAACTCGTCGTTGTGTGACGTCTGGTTCGTTGGCTGTACGCTGTAAATAGTATTTAACAAGTGGCATAACCAGATGGGGACCGTGGAGGAACCACTCTCCTCACTCTTTACTTTAGTTGAGTAGCGTCCCCTGCCCTACTTAACAGTCTGGTTACTCCACTGTAAATGGTGTCCAACAAAATACTTATAATAATAAAACATACCTGAAACTAAGTTCCTTTTGCACCTAGGCATATTTTCGTCTTCCACCCGCCGTTTTGCCCTTTCTCCTTCCAATGAAAGAGTCGGATGTTTAGTTTTCAAATGCTTCCTTAAATTGCTAATGTTTCCATTTTTATGCGAATAAATATTTTTACAAAGATTAGACTTTGCATTAGCTTCCGATATATTGGTGAAATGCATCCAAATAACACTTCTTTTTTGAGTTTGCGATTCTCCTGAACCGGACGCGGATGATTCCATATTTTTGTACAAATAATAATTATATTATTGCTCGAGCTTGTACGGCAACGTCCAAACCAGTAACAACCCGCCAACCGCTAGCTCTCAAAGTCAAATGAAAAGTGTACAGGTGTACACAAACATTGCCAACCTAAAGCTCCGCAGTCCGCAACTCGTTTGATAGAAGAGTATCTAAAGTTGCCTAAGCCTAACGATATTCGCATCATTTCATTTCCACCCAGTTTACATCCAAGAACCAAGTCACTTGCTGCTGGCGCTGGCAGTACTGGCCTACTGGCTACATTAGATCCCAGTAACGTTTGTATCTAAAGTAATGTATAGTGTAGTAACTAACAGTAATTAAAAAGTATACATAGAAAAAGACCGTACCTCATTCAAAGTAACGAATTCAAATAAAAAGTAACGAGTCTTTTCAAAAAGTAGGACTCGTTACATTTATAGTGGATACCAAATAAAACCCGATGCACGTCATCGATCTGGAGCTGTGCGCTGTTGCCAGAATTGATATGAGCTCTTTACACCGACTGTTAAGTTGTTTTGGCATTTTGGATACTTTATACCACTTCACAGTAACTTTTGTTCTGAGAAGAACAACTTTTAATTGGCAAGGCAACGATTCAAAGCTCAAATAACGCAAAACTCACAAACTAAACAATAAAGAACTAATAGTACGACAAAAGGACAATGGCAACTGATGTCAACAAATGAGAAGTGGCAACCTCACATTTCTCTGCACGGCACTACCAACCGAATCGAGACGGGGAAATTTAAACTTCAAGTAGAAATGTCACATTGAATGTAGTCAACTGTTGGTAACCATGATTTTTATGAATGACATCACCTATGACGTGCATCGGATTTTATTTGGTATCCACTATAGTTACTTATAGTGGATACCAAATAAAACCCGATGCACGTCATCGATCTGGAGCTGTGCGCTGTTGCCAGAATTGATATGAGCTCTTTACACCGACTGTTAAGTTGTTTTGGCATTTTGGATACTTTATACCACTTCACAGTAACTTTTGTTCTGAGAAGAACAACTTTTAATTGGCAAGGCAACGATTCAAAGCTCAAATAACGCAAAACTCACAAACTAAACAATAAAGAACTAATAGTACGACAAAAGGACAATGGCAACTGATGTCAACAAATGAGAAGTGGCAACCTCACATTTCTCTGCACGGCACTACCAACCGAATCGAGACGGGGAAATTTAAACTTCAAGTAGAAATGTCACATTGAATGTAGTCAACTGTTGGTAACCATGATTTTTATGAATGACATCACCTATGACGTGCATCGGATTTTATTTGGTATCCACTATATTTGTAACGATTATTTTGTAAGCGTTACTTAATTATTTTACATCACTACTGGCAACACTGACATAACCTCAAATGTCAGCCTACTCGTTACCAAACTTTTGAAAGAAGTTCAACTGCAAATAGGAGGTCTCAATAATGAATAATTGAATACCAGATTTGGTTTGAAAAAAATTACATTTATAAAAACTAGTTTTGTAGGTATTATAAACAAATTTTTAGATTAACCGTATAAAAGTGCGTAATAGTAAGATGCAAACGTTTTAAGTATCTATTTAATGTTTGAAGAGTTGAAAGATAGTTATGGCTATATTTTTGCACGGAAGAAGTCTAATCCTTCGAAGAAATCTATTTGCCACAGGTAGAAAGTTCCAGGGATATATTGTTTTGTAAGTACTTATACCTTTAATTAGGACCGCCCGTAGTTTGTAGATGACCCCACAAAATGTTGCTATGCATATTAGGGTGCAAATAACGTACTTGTGTCGGCTTATGATACCTTCACTTGCAGTCTCCTTCGAATTTTTGGGCGCGGGTCCACCTTTTTAGTTTATCTCTATCAGCACTGTCTATTTCACAATGTTAAATTAAACTATTTATTTACATTTGCTAAATTGATAGAATATTAAGAATCTTGTTCATTATTATAAATATAAGCCATTACATTTGCTGTCTTGCAATGGTATTTAAGTATTATATCTTCAGATAACTTTTTATTGTTCTGCTTGTTTGCAAGAGTTTTGTTTTTTAGAGTTCCAGAAATTGGTGAAGATCTTCCAGAGAAAAACCCACTACTTCAACAGGATGGTCTACCAGAATTCAATCATATCACAATCGAGAATTGTCGAGCTGCAATAGCAAAACAAACCTTAGATTTTGAAATTGGTGTAAGAAACATAGAACAAAAATTAGCTGAGAAACCATGTACAGATATCTTTGGAGAAGTCTTTGAACCACTAGAGGAACTTGGTACTCCACTAGATATGACATGGGGTCTCTCCAAAACTTTATATTTAGGTAACTAACTTTGGTGACTATTTAAATTTAATTTATATTTTTTAATTTTCTATTTAATCCTTAATAGCTGCATCACATTTGTTCAATTGTTGTTCCAGCATATTAAAAGCCTAAACATTCTTGTCTACCTGCTGATGACATCACATGTCATTGGTGATACTGCAATACTGGTAAATGTTGATAAACATAAATTAAACTTCATAACACAAAGTGTATGTCAATAAGGAAACACTTACTACTGTTTCATGAATACATTATTTCAAAAATATCAAAAAAGATGAATTAGTTCTATAGTTTCGCATACTCTCAGTATGTATTAAAAAAAAGAAATTGTATATAACTCTTCCGTATTCCTTATATTGTTCAGCTATTTTGTTGAGGATAATTTTAAATGAAATCAAATATGCCAAGATTAAGAATGTGTTAGAACTGCAGTAGTTAAATGTAAAAAAAATATATGTTGCTAAGTTCTCATTTTCATTATAAAATTAAAAAATCATTTATTACAACCATATTTATAAAACTTCATTTTCATAACTATGAAACTAGATGCAGCACATCTGTATTTTAAACATGAAATGAAAAAATCCACACAAAATGCAAAGCAATGTAATTTTAATAGGCAATAATGAAGAATTATTGAAAATTGATTCAAAGATGTGTAGGTACAATTATACAAACTTAACGTTGTAACATTAATGCTAAATACAGCAGTGGACAAAAGTTTAGAAACATTCGTAGTAATCTTTAAAAAGTGTCCTAATTTTTTATTCTTTATTATTAAGGACTACTTTTTTTCTCATATAGTTTGCATACAATCTGCTTACAAAATGACAATTTGTGTTTGCTGTGGTACTACAGACTAGCATTAAAATACATTCATATTATTTTATTACGAAAAATGAGTCGACAAAAGTATGGAAACATATTTTCTTTTACAAGATTGAATACTATAATTCTTCAAAAAGATTTAGAAAAACCAACAAGGCATTACAGCTGCTCTCGCCGAAAGCCCTGACATATTTGGTTACAATAATCAATGCGACACTCAGAATCCAGTACTTCCCTGCTGGGTGGAAGACTGCTGAGGTCATCATGATTCCAAAGAGGGGGGGTTCGATATTTCCTCAGGATTACCATACCTTAAGTCTGCTGTCAGCTCTTTCTAAGCTTGCCTTGTCTTAATAACTGTGGTGTTTAAATAAACTCGTGTTTCTATTTTCAGAGAATTTGAATATTGATAAGATAAACCTTGTATTAGTACAGAGGCCAAAGGTAGACTTTAATATTTATATTATCTGTTCTGTCACAATTTTAATTTAGGCATATGAAATAGTTCATAATAATGTTAATAACGGGCGATTTTTTAAGAGGTATAGGATTTGATTTCCAAAAAAAACACAAAAAATTTGAAAAAACGATTAAATCTTTATTTGAGTCGATAGAACGTTCGATATAATTTAATGTTTAAGTATTATTTCATGTAAATGTTGGCCGCGGCTCCGCTTTAGATGGCCCATGCGCAAGGTCCAATTTTGGCACACTCTCTCCAACATATCGGCCGGTATCTCACGAATAAATGCTTCAATGTTGGCTTCCAGTGCGTCAATCGTTGCTGGTTTATCCCTGTAGACATTAGCCGTAACATGGCCCCACAAGAAATAGTCCAACAGATACTAGCAAAAAATCCCCCATTATATGTTTCCAAACTTTTGTCTGCTACATATATCTTCAAAAAACAAACAAACCTGTTGACTATTCTAAGCATTTTCCAATTTTCAGATTAAGTTTGCATACTTCTTGCATAACTCTGCGCATCTGTCTTCCTTATGCACTTTTTCAGGCTGTAGTCAGTCATCATGGTTACAGGTGACCCATTGTCATGCTGGTCTTCACAAAATGTCTTGTTTCCATTCTTACTTATAATCTACACAGATTCTGTTCAAATTTTGAACTGTATCATTTCAACTCATGATTCCTTTTTGGATTCAGGTAACAGTAGTTTGATGCCAACATCAAGTTATATAGCTATTCATGATAGAGCCAGGAAAGCAAGAGCTACAAAGTACCACAATGTTAGTATTTTCAAAGAGGTTAAGACTGCACTAAACAATAAGGAGGCCACATGGAGCAGTGAAGAGAGTAGAATATTACAGAAGTTTGCCATTGAGGGAAAACTAAATGGTTTGGAATTAGACAATAGTAACCAACAAGCATTGATCAATTGGCTGAATAAGCTGAATAAAGAAAGGGCTACATTCAAACAGAAAACTGATATATCTACAAAGCAGTTTAAGCATGTGATCACAGATAATCAAGTCACAAGAGACTTTCCTGAAGAATTGTTGAGGCATGTCACTTTTTTCTATTTTCGATGTTGTATCTGTGAAGATAATAATTATTGAATTCTGCAATACAGGAAGTGGTTTTGTTCATCACAATGAAAAAATTGATTGTATGTAATCGGAAATATTGAGAAGGCTGTACCTCATTCGTAGTCCATTTACTCCCAGACAAAACACAACATGCCCAAAAGCGAGAAGATACAGGTCCGTATTTTCCTCAATGGTCTCGGAATTATCTAACAAAATGAATGACTATTTTTATAGAAAGAAGTGCACATACTTTTCACAATTCTTTATTCGTTGGAAGTACTTGAACCATCGTCTGAATGGTTAATATTAATTATTACAGGTCCAATTTGAATATTGATCATATTGTCCAGATCTCACATCTTTAGATGTGAGATAGATTTTCCTGCCCTGGTCGCGGTATTTCTTTATTGATTTTAAATCATTTCTTCTCGATAAAATAATCTCTTGGCTCTCCATCAAAATACTGTTTCTGCCCCGTTTTATATACTCAAAATGAAGTTGTTTGAGTAAACTATAGAATTCGGTCCTTTTGAAAGTAGGTAAGTCTTCATCACTTTAACCTCATGTAGTACTTTGTCTATGGTGGGAAGTTTCTGCATTTCAAAAAATTGATGGACTTTGAACCTGATAGCATTTCGATCAAAGTTATCAACTGTATCCAACAGCAGCCTCTTCTGTGGTGGAGACAATTTTTTTATATTATTTAACAATGTTGAAAATTGTCTTAAGACATATGCCTGTTTTGTTCGTCACACGTCTTGCAATATCATGAATTTCGATTTCAGGACGCTCAAACATTTCGCTCTTATGTACGTTAAGGACAATTACTTTTGGCTGAATATTCAAATGTCCTTCTTTTCACGTTTTCGCGGAGGAGACATCACTGAAGAGGAAGCATGGCTGAAGGAAGCGTTGGGAGAAATATTCTCAGTTTCATCTACTGTAGCTGTAGACGACGTATAGACACACGCTATCTATGCACCGAATCCTTCACTTTCTCGTAGTTGTATGGCCGAATGATCAATAGCCATTGCAACGCTTAGGCATCTTTATTGTGCCTGAGTGTAAATGGACTACGAATGGGGTATAGTTCTTGCATTGTACTTTTCAAGTGAAACACGGGAATTTGCTGCTTGATTTCCAATAATCTTTTGTTAGAACATTTTTGTGTACTCATTTTTACTTGATACTATTTCATTATAGGTACACTGCAGTTGATCCAAACCAACCTCTGCATGGCCCATGGACAGTGACTTTGCAGCCTCACATATACATGGGTGCTATGGAGTATTGCTCGGATAGGGAGTTGCGATGGAACATGTGGCAAGCTTTTGTGGGACGCGGTTCTGGTTACAAAGAGCGGGAGCTAGCCACCAGCCTCAATTTGGAGGAAATTCGCTTCATACGCAGGTATGGTTTTTAATGTATCCTCTTCTCAATATTTTTTTTTTCAATAGTCAATTTTTACATATTTTATAGAAAACAAGGTTGTCTAATCTGTCTTCAAAAGACTGGCCTCGAGAACAACAATATTTAAAGTGTGAATTTTAGCTACAATAAATTTTAACATAGTTTCTTTACACTATTTGGTAGGTTGTTATAAGTTTTTACTGCATCCGTGACGGTTATTTAATCCTATATTGGTTCTAGTATGAATCTGGTACAAATTATTGTGTGATCTTATTTCATGGTCATGCACATCAAGGTGGTCATTTTACATTTTTCTAATTCCAACAGCTTTTAAGTTTTGCATATGGAAATAAAACAACACGGTAGGTAGTTTTAAATGACCTTATTGTTTTTCTAAGTATTCTCCACGAAGATTAATACACATCTGCATGCGCTCGAACCAGTTTTCGAAGCACTTATTCCACTCGTTTGCTGGCAGATCCAAAACGGCATTTTTGAATGCAACAACTGCTTCTTCTGGTGACTGGAACCTTTGACCACGCAGTCTGTTTTTAATTTTCGGGAAAGTGCATAAATCGTTAGTACTTAGATCGGGACTATATGGAGGATGGTCCAATAATTCCACGTTTTCTTCCGTTAAATACTGCCTTGTTTTTTGGGCTGTGTGCGAGCTTGCATTGTCTTGGTGGAGGATGATTCTTCTTTCGGGGTTGATTTTTCGAAGCTCGGTGATGACTTTTGGCAAACAAATGGTGGTATACCAATCCGCAGCACAGTTTTTTGCTCATTAATAGGAATTGTTGCAATATGACCCGCTTTGGACACAAAAGTCGCGACCATCTTTTTCGAGAACGGATGACTTTTGTTGGCTTTTCTTCACCTTGGAACACCCAAACAGCCGACTGTCGTTTATTTTCATAACAGTAAATACACGATTCATCACCACGAACAATGCTGTACACATTTCCGGAATTGAATCGGTCAAGCGTTTTTTGACACCAATTAACCCTGGCTGCTTTCTGCTCTTCAGTCAACAGGTGGGGTATCCAACGAGAAACTAATTTTCTTACTCCTAATTCTTCATTGGAAATTTTTTGAATTGAGGTCTTTGAGGTCTTCAAGGACGCCTCAATCTCGCGATATGTTACATGTCTATCTTCAATGATGAGTTTGCGCACAGCATCGACGTTTTCCTGTGTGACTGCCGTTGTTGGTGCACCCACCCTGGGATCGTCGCTAAGAATCACCCGTCCACGTTTGAATTCTTCATACCAACGGGAAATTGTCGACTGATGTGGCGCTTCGTTGCCGAAAACAGACAGTAACTCAGCAAGGCTTTTTATTTGTCATGATCTGCAACTATGAAATTCATGCAAATAAACTAGTAATTTTTTGATTTTTCCGAAAAATTCACATCGTACGTTTGCAGGGATGTGGCAAAGATACTAGGCTACGAGACTTACGGGGATATGTCGATGGAAACCAAAATGGCGGGTAGTGTTGATGCGGTGAGGCATATGCTGGCTGCGTTGTTGGAAAGGGCAAAGCCTGCTCAAGATGAGGAACTGAAGCAGTTGTATGAGTTTGCTGCACAAAGGGGATTCCGGGTAAGCTATATTCGTATTGTAACAGAGAATATTTTTCATCACATTTAAAATCATAATGCTGCCCTATATATATATATATATATATATATATATATATATATATATATATATAGGTGAAAATTAAAGCTTCCGCCTTTTGTTGGGTACTTCGACAAAATTTAAGCAAGGAGGATTCTTTGCCATCATCATCAGGAGCTGCAATTACATTGATAAAAGTACCAACAATTGTGTAAAACGAATTTAAATTAACTTACAGTAGTATGTGAGGATGTTGCTAAATGTTATTTACGTTTAGGATGAGGGAAACACCCAGTAACATGATGAAAGCTGGATACATGGTACAATGGTTATACAAACTACACACAGCTGTATGACAAGAACAAATTAAAAACAGATTAAAAATATTTAAAACGATAGAGTCATGACTCTTCACAACCATAAATGAAATCTATTTTTTTGGTCTATTCCACCAAAAAATTCCATTCCATTCAAATTTTAATAATTGTTTTCTCATAATTAAATAATAACTGTTAATACCCAACAAAAGGCGGAAGCTTTAATTTTCACCTAACTGGTCTAGACGACAATGACCACGTCTCAAGTTATATATATATATATATATATTTGGGCAGTGCAGTGCTTTAGTAGCGATATTAAAAAAATATTGATTGGTTAAATGTTATTAAATTTAAATCGAACACTAATAAAACAAAATGTATGTCAATAAGGAAACATGTAGGTGACAATACGATTAGGATCATAATTAATGATGAAAACATTGAAGTAGTCCAATCATTCAAATATCTGGCTATATGTGTGGATATTAAACTAGCATTATTTCAGAAATATCAAAAAAGTAATTTATTTCTATAGAGTTTCTTCCGCATAATATATGAGTTCCTAAAAAATTGTCTATAAAACTATAATTCTCCATTACTTTGTGTTTACAGCAAATGAAAACATTTTCAAAATTACAAATTCTAAAAGATAAAGCTATGAGAATCATTGTAAATAAACACAAATACCAGGTCTATGTTAGAACTACAATGGTTAAATGTAAATAATTTTATAAGCTATTTAGTTTTTATTTTCATATTCAAATGAAAAATCATTTATTACCACCACATTTAGAAAACTTGACAAAATTAAATAGTCATTATCATAACTTTGAAACTAGAGGAAGTATAGCTTTTCATCTGCAAAGTATTTGAATTTAATAAATTGAATAGTGTTTGAATAAAAAAATCACCTTATGAATACTCAAAATGCATAGTGATGTACGAGTAGTTTTAATAGATAAGAATGTACAATTACAGGAAATTAATTCAAAAAATGTGTAAACAAATAATAAATCTTCAACAAAAAAAAGAATGTTCCTCCTAAACGGTCAAGCCTAGTTCAGTATTATCGAAGCTTCTAATCACCACAAATGCTTTTAGGGTGCTGAATTCGAGTTATGGGACGTGCCGTATTGGCGGAGGAAGCAAGCGAGTACTTTGTTCGACTACACGGAAAGCAAGCTTAAACAGTACTTTCCCCTTAAAACTGTACTGGCCGGTCTGTTTCAACTTGCAGAAAAACTGTTCAATATCAGGATCGTACAGAGAACTAATGTTTCAACGTGGCATAAAGATGTGAAGTTTTATGATATATTCGAGAGTCATAGCAGTGCACCAGTTGCAGGATTTTATCTGGATCCATATGCTAGGTAAATAATTATCTTTAATTTTTTTAGCCTGGAAAATAAAAATATTTCCGATTTTTGTGGAGTGATGACAGTGCTTTTACTTTTTTACTTTCCACGCCGCTGGTTATCAACCATTGTAATTTTCGATAATGTGATATAGGACTCCATTGTCTGGCCAAATACAACCACATATGTTTAAATTTCTCTTTAACGTTTCGACCACCACTATGGCCTTTTCAAGTACAATTAACAATTATGTATATATATTATGTTTATCTGTCTTCCAGGTGATATTTGGTTTCTTTTTTCATTTTCACATTCCTATACAGTTTATTACTACAACAGTCTGAATGGTCTTGTAACATGCTGAGATTGTGCGAAGTCTTGATTGCAATTTTTAGATGGCATCACGTAAAACCAGCAAAGCTTAGGACCGCCTGAAGTAGGCATTCCCGATTCCAAAAGGACGTGCAGCCCCCAAAGCGACAAGCGAGTATGAGGTTATCTGTCGTGTTTAATGCACCAGACCCGTCACCCTCGTCCATCGTCCCGAAAACGCCAAAAGTCCCCTGCTCATCACACTGGTTAATTGTTATGCAATCTTTGACTTCAAATGAATTTTCAATTGACCTTGAAAGCGGCCACAGTGGTAGTTGAAACATTGTACACTGAACAGAAGTTTAAACATTTATGTTTATGGTTTTATTTGGCCAGACACTGGTGTCCCTTGAACATGAAAACCGCCTAATGAGTTCCAGGAGTTACATGAGATATTATTATGGATATTATATGACATCTTTGTCTCTCGCTAATCCTTGGCCCGTCTGTTACTTGGAAAGTAGCGCTCGGATTTTGATGCAATTTTCACACATGGTTTCTCCTATACCAAGGACGAAAAACATTTAAAATTTTTCAGTGGGGGAGCTAGGGACAAAAAATAAAATCATTATCAGAAATAAGTTTATTAAAAATTAGGTGTTTGAGGTTAGGGATGGGAGGGTAAATCTCATTTTCTTGGCGTTTGTATATTTATATGTCTCCTACTACGGTAATTCTATGCAAAAAACGAATTCGAATAGATTAGAAGGCGCCAAGCCTATGCCACTGCATGATTTGTCGCTAAAATTGCGTAGTTTTAGTGCGTACTTTTAGCTCATTTCTCTATAAATCCCTACCAAAGTGAGAGTTGTGTCAACATCTTACCAGTGGAAACATTTATATTCATTAGGCTTGTGCCGCTCTTTGCAAATTATGTAAGAAGTATCATGTCTTGAAATCGTCTAACACTCCAATTACAAACACTCGCATTTCAAAAAAATAACATTAAAAATAGCAATTTATTGATAGAACTGACTACAGACTATGATAATTAGGAGGCAGACACCAATTTTTTATAGATGGCTGTTGGGATATTTTGCTAAATATTTTTTACATAATCAAATAAATCGTTCCTATTTTTAAAAGTTTTTCTTGTTAGTTGTCTTTTATCATGCTTCCAGAGATGTTCTGTAGGATTTAGGTCCGGGGATTGTGAAGGCCATAACGCCATTTCTTCTTCAGCAAACGGGAGCATGTGTTCGCTAGGAATATCTTTGTAAGTTTTTGATCCATTTGTCCAACAATTTTAACAATTGAACCCTTTCTAGAGCTGGAAGAACAGCCCCAAACCATCAGGTTGCTTCCACGGTGCTTAACTGTTGGCAACTGATACTTTTCGTAGAATCTTTTTCATATTGGACGTCTCACATATGCCGTACCGTCGGATCCAAACAAGTTAAATTTGGTTTCATCGCTCCATAAAACTGTATTCCATTGTTGGTCTCTCCAAGTTAGATGAGTTTTATCAAATTCAAACCGAGCAATACGATTTTTTTTGAAATGAGGCTTTTGCACTGGACCTTTACCAAAAAACCCAAATTCCACCAAGCGTCTCAGCACTGTTCTGACAGAAAAATTCTCGGCACCCTCTTATTCAACATTTCTGACACAACTTCTAAATGATTCAATTACTTTGTCTCTTAAATCTTTTGAAAATTCTTTTACTTTTGCCATACTCACTGATGTTAATATTTACCGCACGCAATATCAGAGTATCGCAGAACGAATAAATACGGCAAAACCGAAATGTTTCCATACTGTCGTTATAAAAACTGTGGTAGTTAAAAAACGTTTTTTTTTATTTTCAGAGAATTTGAATATGTATAAGATAAATTTTGTGTTAGTACGGGAAATAAAGGTAGATTTTAATATCTGTTCCTTCACAATTTCAATTTAGGTATATGAAATAGTTCATAATAATGTTAATATTTGTGTCCAAACCTTTATCCGCTACTGTATGTATGTTCGTAGCTATGTACCTTTTCCATAGAGTGGTTACTTAACGCCATTTTTTGCTCTAGATCTGAACAGAAAATCAGAATGCAGCACCAAGGCTGGATGGTGGCAATTCAGAACATGAGCAGAATAACGAATAGAAAACCACTGGCGGCATTGATATTCAACTTCGACTCTCCGACTCAAGATGCACCTTGTTGTTTGACCTTCCAGGAAATTAAGATGCTATTCCAGAAGTTCGGCCACTCGTTACAGCATTTGCTGACCAGAACAAATTATTCGGAAGTGGCGGGGATGTCGAACATCGAATGGGATGCTGTGGAGATTTCTGGGCACGTCTTTTCACATTGGTATGTCAGAATATACTCAGGATTTTTTTTGTTTTTTTAATTTTAGAACAGAGAGAGTTTTTTGGTAGGGTCCACAGACAAGTTTCGTTCTTCAAATGAGGAGCAACTTTTCAAAACGCATTTTATCAAAAACAAATTTTGGGTATTAACTAAAAACAACTTGCTCGTAAACCTTGTCATATACTTTCACTACAGTGAGTTGTTTTGATAGAAACTAATACATAAACGTAATAAGTTATCTCAGTTAAATCAAAATTTATCAGAAAAAGTGGTAAAATCTAAAAAAATGTTTGGACTTAACCACAGGACTTAACACAGTGACTGCCACCTTTTTTCGGTTGGTTTTACCCAGGAGCCAATTAGTTGTATAATGGTTAATTTGTTATTTTTTTAGTATAACTTCGTAAAATCAGTTATTGAGGTATTTACGTAAAATGTTTTTTTAATTAGAAGATTTTTTGTGGCGCTTCTAAGAGCCGACGGCACGGACTAACAAATTCCTGTGTGCCAGCTGGCGCTTATAAGAGTCGGAAGATAATTATTTGTTTTTTATAATAGAAATAAACTAAAACAAAAAAATAAACATTTATAATCGACCGTTAATAAAAATTAAATATTAAAAATAATTTTTGTAACTTAAAATAGTAGAGAACATATAAAAGCATAACAAAAACTTTTCTGGTACATAATACACTTAATGTGATCAAATCTAATCAAAAACAAGAATTTAAACAACTTTTTTTTAGAATACAAACATGAATTTGTGGTGAGTTCAGACTATTTTTAGTGCAAAAAATTATTTGTGAATAATGTCACTGCACTCCAAGCAGAATCCTGGAACATCAGGGCATGTTCTACATCCGTACATCGTTTGGGTACGGATTCCTTTCTTGCTACAAGATTGGCATCTTTTTCTGGATACTTGTTTTTTACCATCTAAATCATGTTTTACTAATTTGTGCCCTTGTGTGTCTGCAGTATTGTACCTTGGCTCTGATAAGAGTCAGCGGCACCGGCGAACATCTCGCGTTGATTCTTATTAGAGCCAGCGGCAGCGAACGTGTTAATGCGTTTTGCATCGTCACAACGCATAAAATTAGTTTTGTCGCGGTCAAAATTGGACATAATTATTAGAGTCCATAGTGCATGACCAATTAATGCAGTTTATAGAAGAAAACAAAATTTTAGTGGAGGCGCAAGCAGGCTTTCGAAAAAATATTCCACAGAAACGGCTTTCCAGTTGGTAACTGAGAATTGGAGAAGAGCCATAGACTCAGAAGAAGTTGTCATAGCAGTATTTTTGGATTTGAAGAGGGCATTTGAAACGATTGATAGAGATATTTTGTTAGGTAAATTGAAGGCATATGGTACAACAGGAAGTGTTTTAGATTGGTTTAGAAATTGTCTAAAAGGATACAAGTTACAAAAGTTAATGACACTATTTCATCAAAAATTGAAAATACGTTGGGTGTTCCACAGGGCAGTATCCTGGGACCACTTCTTTTTATTTTATACATAAATGCCATAGTCAAAAAATGCAAAATTCAGATTTTCGCCAATGACACTATGATTTATATAAGTACTAAAAATATTCAGACTGGTATCTCTTATATAAATGAAGACTTGAAGCTTGTCTCAAAATGGTTAGCATCTAACAGACTAAAATTAAATGCAAGTAAAACGAAAGCCTTGTTAATCGGAAAAAAACAATGTACAAATGTTCAACTGAAGATTGATGGTGAAGTTATTGAATTCGTAGAAAATTTTAAATACCTGGGGGTTTTTGTTGACTCTCGATTAATTTTTGATATTCATTATGAAAAAGTTATAAATAAGATTAGTAGTAAAGTGGGATATTTATCGAGAGTTTTTGGATGTCTGAGTTCATATAGCAGAAAAATTATCTATCCATCATTCTTATTATTATTATTCTATATTTAGCAAATAATTCCATTTTTGGAAGACTGCAAATTTTACAAAATAAGTGCATGAGAATAATACTAAATAAAGATAAATATACTCCAATTAGGCAAATGCTTAGCAAATTAAAATGGCTCAATGTAAAAAATTTTATCAAACATCTTGTAATGATTTATAAAGTAAAAAATAATATATTTCCATCAAGTCTAACTAATTTAACATCATCAAATGTCGACCATCATTTACATAATAGCAGAAATAAAGATGACTTCCATTTAATGACCAAAAAGTATAACATATGCTACAAATCTGTATTCCATCAAGGGTTGATTGAATATAATAAATTATACTCGGAGATAAAAGACCAGAAAACTTTGACAAAATTTAAAGTAAAATTGAGAAATCACTTGTTAAATCTACAATTATAGGTTACCCAGCATTTACATCATACACCATATGGCTTGAATTTACTAGTTCTAAGTTGTTTACAATTATTCTGTTTATGTAGCCAAATGTGCTAAATAAATCTTTCTACTACTACTACATAATGCTATTTGTTCAAATGTATTGCTTTGACAGGTGGTGAAACTCGGCTTACAGCTATTGTAATATTCCAGCTAGTATATATTCTTTTTTATTTAATTTCTTTGAAACATACAAACGTGAATAATAACGCTAAATAATATACTGAGTGACAAAAACATTGGTCGCTCAAAATGCCTAGAGTGCATAGAATTCGCCGGGTGTCCCATCTAAGTGGCTTTGAGAGCGGTCGAATTGTTGGGTTGCGTGAAGCCGGTCTATCGATAAGAGGAGTTTCTAGGAGGACCAACAGATTCTTATGCAGTATACTGCGACAAGACCGCATGGCATGGCTCTGAGAGACAGATTCAGTAGTACTCGACCCATCGCTAATCAGTGGTTTGAAGAGCATGGAAGGATGGTTGGTATGCGTACGGTATATCGTCGAATACGACAGTTTGGCCTTTTTCTTATCGCCCACATTGGGTTCTACCTCTCACAGCTGAACATCGGCGTAACCGTTTGCTCTTGTGTAGAGGAAGAATTCAATGGGACCGGGAATGGAAAGAGGTGGTCTTTAGAGACGAATCCCGCTTCTGTCTTGGGATGCACCATGGTCGGGGAAGAGTGAGAAGGCGGCGTGGTGAAAGACGTGATCCACAATTTGACTGAGAGTGCCACGTTCACCACACCGTGGGATTTATGGTATGGGGTGCTATTGCTTATGGTAGCAGATCATCACTAATTTTCATCAGAGGCAATATGACAGCCCGACGCTATATTTAGGAAATAGTGGAGTATCGTCTTATTCAATGCCTAAACACCATCCAAAGCCCGATTTTTCAGCAAGGCAATGCCAGACCGCGTGTCGCCAGAGCATCGTTAGCCTTCATGGATCAACATCGCATCAACCGTTTACCTTGGCCACCACGATCGCCTGACCTATCTCCAATTGAACATGTCTGGTACATGATAGGTTGTAGGTTCTTGAATTTGCTACACCCTCCACAGACTTTAGCAGCTCTTACTCACGAAGTTGCAGTGGCCTGGAATAAAATACCCCACCTTATCAGCACGATGCCTAGACGTGTCAAATCGTGGATCCTCAACACATTATTGAATCAGCTTCTGCAGTCAGTTGACGAATCAAAACTGAAAATTTAATCCTTTTACTAGAACACTGAACATATATGCCAAAAATGATTAAAATTCGATAAACATACGAAGGTATTTACCTTTGTTTGTTACTCAGTATAGGTTTATTATATTAATAGCTAAATGCGGGATCAAAAATTGCGATCGGTCTCGCAAAATTCCAATAGGGAATCCATAAGAAAAAAACAAAACAAAAATGAGGATGGATATTGGAAGCAGAAACATTACGACTACGCCCTCTTGTCGAGCAGAAAAAGTAGCAATAGTATGCATGTTATATTAAAATCCCATTTCAAATAAAACCGGAAATAACCAACGATTTAAAAAAAAGCGGCATATGAAACAAAAGACCATCTGATAATTTCAAAGCTTACCTAGACAGTTCTATTTTTTTTTGAAATAACTAAGGTTTGGCAATATCCATGTATGACATAATGTATATGTTTGGAATCAGAATTATACATTCTATTCATCTGTGCAGAAATCTAATATGGTTTTTGGTCAAATAAAGTTGACGCTGGAGGTCAAGAGACGAAACGTCATGAGAATGTTTTTTTGAAAATTCTTTCCGTCTCTCTCCGTAAGTACTTCAGATTTCAAAACATTCTAATCAGCATCTTGTCAGTTACTTAAATACGCAACTTTGTCCCCATTTAAGCCACGTCGTATTTCTTACCGTTTTCGAGAACCCAATGGTGAGGGTCGAATATGAAACACCCGCATGGGTATTATGTACCAAATATAAAAAACCTCAAAAAACCGACGAAATGTCATCTTGCAGACTAGGTAGTTTTTAGTGTGCAAATAGTTCATTCCTTGTTTGCTCGCTATGATCGCTATTCGCTGACGTTTAAGCAACACGTACAGCTACAAAATGAGTTCACAACAAGAGTACAGTAGCTTGTGCTGAGTTAACATCCTGTAGACCTACGTAGTCTCACAAAAAAACTTACGAAATGCCAAAAAAAGCCGGAAAATGTCACTTTTCAAGATACGTAATACCCGTGCAGGTATATGTATCACAGAGAATGACAACTTATTCTGGGATGCCCTGTATATTGTAGCGTTTTTCTGTGTCCTTTTGGGTGTGGATTAAAACACTGGATTCCACAAAAAGAAATGCACTAATTTATTTAACTTGACTAGATTTATGTACACCACTTTTTATGTCTGACTATTTATTTACGAATTAATATGTCACGCCATTCACTGAAATATACTCTACTCCACTGTTCTCTAACTCTACCCTGCTTCCCTCTCCTGACCGTCGAGTTATATAGTCCGCATCGTTGATTTGAGATTCCAGTGAGCCACATAGGGGCATTCCAGAATCGTCAAGGACACTTCGCGTCGATCTAGAAGGCGAGTCACTGGTACTGTCCTCAACAGATGACGTCAAGCGGCATGTGCGGTCACGATCCGCGTAAAAACAGAGATCGACCTTGATCTGCTTAACCCCATTTTTTGAATTTTTTAATAAATTACATCTTGTGTTTCGACCAATTGAGATAGTATCAGGTAACCAAATAAGTTCGTGCGGTTGATGTATATCGCACATTGCCATGGATGTTGTTGATCGATAGCGATTGTTTGTTACCTGTTGTCACTTTAGTATGAATCCTTCTTTTCTCACACACATAAAAAGTTGCTGAAAATTGTTACAATTGAAAGATGTACCGCATTCGGAGATGATGCCGTTAGTGATCGAACAGTACAGAAGTGGTTCAAAAAATTTTCTCGGGAGATTTCAGTTTGAACGATGAACCACGCTCAGGGAGACAAAAAATCATGAACAACGAGGATCTTCGACAGGTTGTGGACGCAAATTCCAGGACAACGTGCTAAGAACTTGTAGAAATGTTCAGAGTGAGTCCTGAAACTATTCGTTTGCATCTTCATTATCTAGGAAAGACATGGAAGTTAAGCAGATGGGTCCCACATGAACTGACAAATAATAAATTGTTCAGCAAACATTTCACGCAACGCTAATGAACCATTTCTTAATCGGTTATTAACCTGCGACGGAATATGGATCTTGTATTCGAATTCTAAGCGTTGGTATCATTGGTTGTCACCTACTGATTCGGTACCACACACGCCCAAGGCTTGCTTGCACCCAAACAAGGTTTTGTTGTGTGTTCGGTGGACAGCAACTGGAATTGTCCATTATGAGCTTATGGAAACGGGTCAAACTATCACTGCTAACTTGTATTGTAAGCAGCTTCAACGAGTACAAGCAGCACTCATCCAGAAATAGCCTTCTTTGATCAATCGGAAGAAAGTGATATTCTTGCAGGATAACGCCAATCCTCATACCGCAAAAGTGACCCGAGAAGAAATTTCTGAACTCCGCTGGGAAACGTTCCCGCACCCGCCATATTCTCCCGACATTTCGCCCAGTGATTATCACCTTTTTTGACTCTTGACAACTGTATGAGGCACCGACAGTTCACAACTCGAGATGGTGTAATACATGCAGTCCGCCAATTTTTTGACTCCAAATCCAGGGAGTTCTACGATACCGGCATACAAAAATTGGTTCCAAGTTGGCAAACGTTCATTGAATGTGATGGTAATTACTTCGACGAATAAATAGTGTCTCATTGTTTCTCAATAAAAATTTATATTTTTCTACTAAAAACCGCACGGACTTATTTGGTTACCTGACAGAAGCAAATAAAGCTCCGAATATTTTCTTAAGGCATCATTTTTTCTTTCAGGCTTCTCAGCCGGGACGTCATGAGGAGCATCTCCAGCCACGTGGACAGCGAGGACCCCTTACCAGACACAATGTATCAATCACTCCTGAACGTGCACCAGCACCTAAGCGGCGTGGACCTCTGCCGGGAGCTGTACCTCTCCGACCTCGACCTCGAGCTGCATACGTCCAAAGACTTCTGGCTGGACATCGTGAAACGGTTGTGGCCGCATTACCTCTCCTTCAAACTGCACAAGATCGACTCGCATCCGTGTTCGTTCACGCAGATATTTTCGGAGGAATGGGGTGCGGCGTACTACTCGCATGTTTGGTCCAGGATGGTTGCTGCTGATGTTTACAGCGCCTTCCACGAGGTCAGAGATGATGAGAAGCAGGTCTTGGACGTGGCCAAAAGGTAGGAAAATCATAATATTTATATTAAAACATCCGTTTTTTCCTCCTTCAAATAGACGAGGGTCCGAGGCTTGCTTTGGTAAACCTTTGGTTTCAGGTATCCCCATAAAAAAAATCACACGTTGACAGGTCGGGGGAGCGAGGGGGCCATGAAATATCGCCATGACGTGAAATGAGACGTCCTAAGAATTTTTGCCGAAGTTTCATCGAAGTGCGAGCTGTGTGAGATGTTGCCCCGTCTTGTTGGAACCACACTGTTCTGAGACGGACACGTGGACGTCGAAGTTCCGGAAAAAAAAGTCCTCAAAAAAATAAGAGCCAATAATAATCGTTGGTCCTACTGCACACCAAACTGTAACTTTCTGGATAGGCAGGGGCTGCTCATGCAACTGTTGGGGGTTCAGTGGAGACCAATATCGACAATTTTGTTTATTGAGGTATCCATGTAAATGAACAACGCCATGTCATAGTTATCCAACTGCTCAATCATGAGCTGTGCAAAATTAATACGTTGTGCATAATCCCCTGGCAACAGTTGTTGATAAACTTGGATTTTGTAAGGATGGAATACTAAATCCTTCTTCAAGATGCGACGGACAGAGGACGCGTGGATCCATAGGGAAGTGGCACGCAAACGGACTGAAAGATTCGGGCCTTGCAGCGTGTCAACTCTCACTCTGTCTACGTTTTCGGGGGTTCTAACAGTACGCTTTCGCACTGGCGGTTTTTTCTTCATCACATTAAATGTTGTGTTGAATGCTTCCACAAATCTCAAAATGGTGTTACGGTCTGGTAGTGTTCCACGACGTGGAACACGAAAGTGAACGCGAAACTCACGTTGTGTTCGAACGACAGACTCACCATTTTGAAAGTACCGTCGTACAGTGAGCACACGATGCTCAACGTTCCAAACCATCTTGCCAACTGAAACGGCATTTCTTTCTGACGGACCCTGACTAAGAAGTGTTTTGTAATGCCGCAATATCCGGAAGTTTCTCCTAACTACGCACACTTTTCTGCCAACCAATGTTTTCTACAAGCCTACTTCCATATACTATAATATACTGGTAATGTTGTGACAGCACAAAACTCGTACCTTCATTAAGTGGTGTAATTTTCCAGTGATAGTTTATTTTCAACAATCCATTACTTGACAACATTCTGTAAAGTTGATTGAGAAATAAGGACAGATAATTCCAGAAAAAAAGAAACGTTTCTCATTTCGTTTGATCCACGACTTTTGGGACACGCTGTATAAGACAAATATTTTTTGCTTTTCAGATACCGTGATACTTTCCTGGCTCTGGGAGGCAGTATGCATCCAAGTCAGGTCTTCAGAGAGTTCAGAGGGAGAGATCCCTCTCCTAAAGCATTGTTGAAATCGTTGGGATTTAAGAAGATAAAAATAGAAGAGTCGTAATTGATATATGTGGATATTTTGTTAAATATTCATTTTTTGTAGTTGATTAAAAAATCAAACCATGCTTTGTTTTCTTATGAGGAAGAAATAATCTCCGCATTTCTCTATGCAAACGTCAAAGTCACAAACTTTGCCAAGTGGAATTTAGGTAATTGATCATAATAACAAACACATTCCAGACTTCTAAAATCCACTCGTATAATTCTTGTGACGCTATTTTCACCCCCCACGACGAATTAAATGTGTGTTCAGTTGGTAGCTATGAGCCCCCTCGGGGTTATTTAGGCGCCACCTAGTTTCCAAAAACTAGAAAATGAAATAAGTATCACTGTTGGGGTTCTGGCGTTAAAAGAGATACTAACTCACAAGGTACCCAGACATTTATTGAACAAACAAAAGAAGTCCTGGAGGACAGGTTAACAAGAATGAATTTATGTATTACCCACCCTAGCTAAATGGTTATCCAAAAAAACTAAAATAAAAAAAAACTTGACTATCTCCGAACGGCTACCATTGGTAGGAAGTTACAGATTTACCCTAAAACCGGAGGGTAGAACCCTCTAACAATGACAGTTGTTTGTTTCGTGCTTTTTTGGCAAATCATCAGCATGATCTCTGGGACAACGAAAGAAATCATAGCAACTATTCTCTATCCAGTATATAAGGTCTTATTTCGACAGGACCGAACTTGTGCCGAATATAATTCTTTATGAACTGAAGACGGCGTTGCGTGGGATGTGTAGATTGGACCTACTTGACGCCACTTTTTGTTTGAAAGGAAAGTTGATCATGTCTACGCTTAACAATGATACAGGGAACTTGTTTTATTTTCGAGCACTGCCTCGCAAACTCAAAGAAGGGAACTAAATAGGTATATCATATCATAATAAAACTACAAGTTATATTTCATGTAACAATAAAAGTTATCTACGATTTCTCTTCGACATCTTGATTTGTAACTCCTTGCTTTTTTTCCTCATTTGATTGTTCTTCTGTCTTTTGTTTTCCTGCTATTCCATTTTTTGTTTGGGTTCTTTCATTATTGCCATTACCATTTCCTATATTTTCAGTTTCCTTATGTCGCCCCGCCTTTTCCTCCTCAGATTCCCTCTCTCTTTGTACCCCGTCTTCTTCCCTTCTTTTCTCTTCAGCTTTTTTCTCCTCGTTCTTTTGCACCTCATAATCCTTTCTAGCGTGATCCAGAGCCTCCATAAATTCTGCGTTCGGCATTAGCTTGAGACTGAAAACCAGTTCGTCGATGCCCTGTCTTAGCATGCCGAGCTTGCACAAGGCTATGCCTCGTCTGCCTGTACAGAGCGCTCTCTGTCGTTGGTTGGAAGGTACTGGGGGTACAAGCAGCTCCATGGCTGAGCTGCAATCTCTAACCACCTTGTTCATATTTCCTGCAAGAAAAAGCAAGTACCGAATTGCAAGAATTGATGTTTCAAAGAATTTTTTGGTTGTCCAGCTGCTTTTCAGTTGCCCAGTTGAGATTCACGCAATAACTAGCGTTCGGTATACAGGGTGTCCGCAAAGTTGGGGTTTTCCTTTTCAGAAACAACTACCCTTGAAATAACAAAGGTAATGTAGTGAAACGAGGGCGACCAAGTAAAAAAAATAAAGGAAAAAGTACTCACTCTCCAGTTGACGAGAAGGGCTAAGTACGTCTCTGCCCGAAATCATACCGCTCCAACAGAAAATGAAATCAGCTGAAGCGCTACCGAGCAGACGCAGAAACCACATTGATTGTCTTACACTTAATGGCACATCTTCTAAAAAGGAAGGCAAAATGTTGCGTGAAAAGTCTAGGTATTGCATCCCGTCCAATCGATTTGGGAGAATAAATGGACCAACGAGCATACCGTTCACCATGCCAGCCTAAACATTCACCGAAAATGTTTGTTGAAAATGACCAAACATGAGTGTTGCGAAAGTTATTCACCCCATTACGCGTGAACGTAGATTCGTCTGTCACCAATATGCACTTCAAAAAGTCCGGATTATTGTCATGTTGATGCAACAACCACTCACAAAACCGCACTCTTGCTGGAAAATCGTCAGGTAAGGGCTTGTACACGTTGGACGTGAAACGGATACAGCCCCTCTTCACGCAGCGTTTTCCACACTTTAGTTTTTGATACTTGCACTTCTCTAGCCACGTCTCTAGTGCTTGTTGTTTTTTGAAACGCAATCGATTATACGAGTTCGTTTACCTCTACATGTGTGACTGTAACCGTCGGTTGAAGGTTGCATACTAACCTGACACACTGACCCCGACCCAGTTCTGCCGTCGGGTTGAGACCTTGTAACAGTCGCGGATATCCCGGCGGGTCGCGGCTACAGGACGGTATTCAGATATTTTTGATGTTGCAGAGCCCTTTATCTCGGTTCCCTTAAGACATTGGTGTATATGGTACTAAGAAAAATTGCTTATGTTTTCAAGATCTACACGTCGTGTAAAGGAAAACCCCAACTTTGCGGACACCTTGTATATAGGGTGTCCTAGAAGTCAACGTCAAACCGGAAACGGGGGATAGGCCAAATCATAACAGTTATCAGAAAAATATAAAAAACAAGTCATGTCCTTTTCAAATTATAGGCTTTAAAAAAATCGGAAAAATCTACATCCTGTGATGATCTTTTAGTTCCCATTAATACAAACTTCACTTTTTTCTTTCTTAGACGGAGTGGCGGACAGTGTCATTCTACGTATTGACAGCAAGACAGATAGTAAGACCGCTTTTATTAATTCGTGAATCTATTTATTAAATTCACAATAAATGTTCAAACTGCCGTCCTTCGTTAGCAATGCAAGTTTGACATCTTAAAAGTGATCGGGTCATCAGATGGGCGAATCATCCATTGTTAACAAATTCAGCTGCTTCCGTTATTCTGTCCCGTAGCTCAGCTAAATTTTCGATTGACCAATCGCCAAAAAATTGGACAAATGCTAACACAACATACATAATACATAGCAGTTATAATAAACTGATAGGACTAAAAAAGAAAAAAAATCTATACAATATAAGTGTAATATCAATTTTGAATCGTAGACTAACAATGAAGAAAAGATATGTGTTAGTTTTTTATAAATTACATCATGTTTATATCAGTTTTAAGCCACTTGCATACATCTATTTTTTACGTGAGTTACCATACTTTTAAACCTTCGCTTAATTACATAAAAAAGTAGTGATATTTCGGAAATCGTCTAAGGATAAAGTAGTGCAAAGAAACAGCAATTGTGTGTGAATTGATACCCAGTGATTTGTAAATAAAAAGATGAATAATTATTGATCCTCACCTACAGCCATGTGAGCCTCCGCCCTCCGTATATAAAAATCAACAAAGTTCTTGCTGATCTTGATCCCGTAGCTGTACGCGCTGATAGCACCCAAATAATTTCTGTTCTTCATAAACTCATCTCCCTTGGCCTGGATATACTGGGGGTTCTTTTCTTCGGGCCTGATGTCTTCGCTTACAAACCCGGCTGACCTTCGAGCCTCTGCCTGTTTGGTCAGCCACTTATTCTCTTCCTCCAACATGGATTCTCTACAAGGTGTGGGGAACTCTCTTACTGAGAAGTCCACTTCGAGGGTGCGAGATGCTCTTAACGGTGCTGGTTCTGAAAAAAATTGTATCTACACCACGTATGTTTTATTTTCCTTATGTTTACTTATTATTTTTGTAGCTACTTGTTTTTATCATTTTTTCCGTAATGTCCATGTCTCAGAATTTTGAGTTGTTTTTATAAAGGTCTTAAGGTCTGGAGTTTCTATTTACGAGGATTTTCATAACATTTTAGTAGCTGATTTTAATCCCTCTTCTAAACTGAATTGATATAACCAGCTATTGGGAACTGATAGCGCCCCCCCACTGGCACTCGTCTAAAGTCAATCACCCTCTCCTCCGCTTGTCGCAATCCCCTGAATCAGAAGCACTGCACAAGCTTAAATAAAGCACCACCCCATTCTTGAACTTTTTCAGTCGTCGGCGTTTCAAAGAGCTGCTTAATCTAAGCACCCCGCTCCCCGACCTTCAATTTTCAATTGTCAGCAATATAGAGACGCGATGGAGCATTTTCATTCAAGTCCAATAGCTTCCAATATTCTACTAATTTTTCGTTCTAGAATACTCTCATCCCATTTTTTCGTTCGAGAACCCCGCCCTGTGGACAGCCCTGTCCACCGAAGTACGCTCTAGAGCGACAAAGTAGCAAAAACGTTCGCTCTGCTTGTGGCCGGATTGCTGATGAAATGCTTCCATGTTTCAAGAATTCTAGAACTCAAGTTTTCTCACGGATGACCAAATGCTGAAAATTCTCTATCGAGTACACGAAATCATGTTAATTAGTTATGCAAATTTCAAGTCCCAACAGTGTGGTCCCTCTTTTTTACCCCTATTTTTTTTTGAAACGTTAGTGTTTAACATTATTTTGGGATGATAAGAGCTTCCTCTAGACGCTCAGGTCCATAAAGTGTTCAAAAAAATCGAACAGTTGATGTTTGGTGTATCGTGGGAGCTGGAAGGCATAAATTGTCAGAAGTGCTGCTTAAGCATAACCACCCGACCCTTCACGGTACTAAGAAATGTTGTACAAAACGTTCGTTTTTTGGACACTTGGGGGTTCGATCAAACTGGGAACCTAGGAAAGTGTCCCTTGTGCCCTAGGCGCGGATCCAGGCGGGGTCATGACCCCTTCCTCTGGGCGAATTTAGCTTGACCACTAATGTTTATCAATGTTTTTGATATATTTAAAAGAATACAGATATTTTGCAATAATGTAATGGATACAAACTGGTAAAAAATCACCAGATTTGCAAGTTGCAACTGTTCTGCATGCTTTTTTATAGGGTGACTAGGGGAAAAAGTGATAGAGATAGTCAAATGAAGCGCAGTAAGGTATCTTTAGAAAAATAGATTAATTTTTTGCTGAAAGAACCTCGGCTAGAGATTGACGAACAGACCAAAATTTTGCCTTTACTAACTCATACAAATACATATTAGCAACACTGCTCCTATTTCTACAGCTACATTAACCAATGATTATACATCCAATGAAGCATTTTTCTCTTACTCAGGTATTTCAGTGCATGCCTGTATCATATCCGTCGTCATCTGAATCTGATCAGCTATAGTCGAAATTACCAAAGATGACGATTACGTCATCATTTTAGTCTGTAGTAAAAACAAACGTCAGCGATTTGTGAATATATTTAATGAAGTTTCTGATATGTTAGACATAGTCAAACAGAATTTTATTGTCTAAACAAACTGCATTGCTAATTTGCATGTATCCGACAAAGATAGACAATGTTTTCATGTTGCATAATCGATATTTGAAAGCTGAATAGTTAGGTTATGTTAAAGCAGGTTATGATGTTTTCGAATAATACTATGGTCTTTGGTGTTCCTGTCTTAAGGTATTCTACTAATAACTGTTTTTTTTTTCAAAACAAAAACTCCCCACTAAAATTATTATTAAGGTATCACTCAAAACCATGAAATAAAATGAAAATAAAATTAATCAGTGAAATAACCTAACTTCGCAAAATCATAATATAAATTTGTTGTCATTACGTTCCTGACTCGTGATTTTATCATCGACGTACGTCCATTGATTACTTCTGTACAATTTATGGTATGACGTAATAGTCATCTTTCGTGATTTTGACTATAATCAAATTCAAGCGGATAACCAAACGGAAATGGTATTTACCATTTTGGGTTGGTATTTACCGATCCGTTCAAGCGAGTGTAGTTATCAGTTTGGTTATAAGATCCGTGACGTCACGAATCAGCTGTTATATGTCATAGTTATCACCGCAAAATTGTGGTATTTACCCAACTCAAGAGTAGTTTTATATTTCTGGTTATTATTTGAAATGTGACAAGTTAGAATTTTGCCGGGTATTGGATATTGTTATTGTACTTCAGCTTCATTTTTGAGAAAATTGATACAGGCTGACTTCAGTTTTACCATAAAGTGGAGCACCTTATTAGTTATACTCATTACGGTTGTTGGGGACACTTTAAATGTAGTTCCTATGCTTAACAAAGAATCCTGTGTAGCCATATACCACAAGAATATTAAAATATGGCCATATAAAGTCACTAGATGATATCCACCTGTATACGGTTTTGCTAATTTCTTTTTTCATCATTTCTGCTGAATCGATAAATGCTTGGGTTCCATCATTAAAAAAAAATCTGAAAGAAACATTTCTCCCATGAATATTATGAAAGGTTTCTTATTTAAACCTTCCATACACAGTTGTAGACGAAAAAGCCCCGATTATTAAGTGATAATAAAAATAATCAGAGGTTATATACGCCCCTTTCTAAAACAAACAACTTGCAACAAAACCGCGGTTAAAACCAACGCGTTCAAGCGATTCGTGTAACTGATGTGTCATCTTGAACCATATTATAACCGCCGCACATAACACAGAAATTTTGGTTATTCGCTTGGATTTGATTTATGAGTGATTCGCTTTCACTATCAAAATTTGTGTCTGGTATTTTGGGAAAAGTGTAGAAGATCTGATGAGAGCTATGTTACTTGAAAAATCTTGGGCGTCTCCACCAAATTAAATTTTTCCGCGTTGCGTTGTTAATTAAACAAGAAAAACAAACAAAAAAATTTGCATAGAAGTCACATATTGAAAAGTTTCATTGGATTGTTTTGTCCGGGACTTAATTGCAAATATCGCGTTTTGTTTACATTAGCACAATCAAAATGACCACTGAGATATCTTGTAAAAGAGCTAAGAGCATAACATGATAATTTGCTTGGTGAAAATGGTGATCTCATGATTCATCAGCGGAACGAGTGACACGAAAGAGTTGTTGAAGCAGGAAAAAACTTTTTCTAATCTTTCCAGCAGCAACAACATACATACCTTTTCCTAAATTATATTTGTCAAATTTTATACATACTAATTATTATGTTATGATGGCGTCTGGCATTCTGGCAACATGGAAGCGTTCCATCATCTGTGTAATGTCAACCAGTATAGGAGTGTTTTTTTGCTACTTCATAGTGTACTTCATAGCCCTAGAGCTGTAAGCATTTTGCGACTGCTGTTTAGAAAAGAAGGAATGTGCGAAATTAATGTTTTGATTAGCATATGACTAAACCGTCGATGTTTCATCTTTTTAACATGGAAAGATAAAACTGCATGGATAGTATGATAACTTTTAGAATATACAGGATAACCTTCAATTTTCGCCTCAACATTCTCCTCGCGTATTTTTGGTGGAATCTTCCTTAGATGCTTGGATGACTTCTGTTTGGCTCTATATTTTTCCACACTTTTCCTCCATTCTTCTAAATCTCCAAGAGCATTCTTCTCTTCCTCCTTTTTAATGGTCTCTATTTTCCCTCTGATACTTGTATCTGTTTCGATCTGCTTTTGGACGGCGACTCGTTTCAATTCAGATTTTTTGCCTGCTAGGTCTTCTGATCGTTTCTGTAAATTGAACATTTTCAAAATGCTCAAATAATTTATGTTACTGGTATATAGGATCTTCCAAAAATAGGGTAAAATGCTTAAGAAGGCGATTGTAGGTTTCGTTTTTTTGCAAAAAATTACCTATGAACGATCTTTTTATGTACAGCGTGGTAAAGTTCTGGATTTTTTTAAAAGATAGTTGTTTTTCAATGCCAAAATAATTTTTAGCTTCAACAGTGGCGTGCGTACGGGTATTGACCTTTTTAAGAAAAAAGTGGTACGCCAATGGTTTTTTGCCAAATAAAAATTCTTTATTAATTTCTCAATTCAAAACAAAATCATCTCTCTTGAATTGTTTTCCTTCGATGCGCCATTTTTGAGTAAAAAAATAAAAACCGTTCTATTGGCCGAGGAAATTAATGTAATAATTGAAGATTGCAATTTAGCAATAAATATCTAGTTGCTCTGGAATATGTTACTAGCTTTTGACATCTGACAAGTCTCTGTCCCCACACCTCAACAGTTTAGATTTCTTTTTGTGGGGCTATCTCAAGACACTAGTGTACACAAGTCCCATTAACACTGTAGAGGAATTAAGAGAAAGAATAATTGCAGCTTGTGATAGAATAAAAAACACTCCAGTGATATTTCAACGAGTGCGCAATTCCATGCGAAGGAGGGCGGAAGCATGCATACTAAGTGAAGGGAGCCATTTTCAAAAAATTTTGTAATCATCGTTTGTTTTAATGTCGTGTTTATGTTGTCAGTTGTTGTTGTTCATTACCCCTAATGTGTTTTTCCAATTAAATTAATAATAATTCTGCAAGTTAGACAATAAAACGGATTTTATTTTTTTACTCAAAAATGGCGCATGAAAGGAAAACAATTCAAGAAAAATCGTTTGTTTTAAATTGAACGAGGAATTCAAAAATAATAATAAAGTCAATATCCAATACGCACGCCACTGTTAAAGCTGAAAATTATTTTGCATTGAAAAATATGCAACTTTATTAACTTTCACTACGTACTAAATATCAGTGAAATATCTGAAGCGGTTCTGAAAATATTAATTAATTTCCATTTTTTTCCTAAAACTTCAACACCCCGAGTTTTTGTAAGGAAACATTTTTGGACCATAGTTTATAAAGCAAACTAACATTAATTTTTCTTGTAGATTCACACCCTTAAATTTTCATCATTAAGGAACACCCTGTATATGTCTTTGTACACTGTCATTTCTAAGTTCCTCCAAGATGTATTGTGTGCAGAAGTATAGCGTGTAATAAGTGCTTGAGTGAGTTTTATTATGAACAAAAAAACATTGTTCTGTCCTTCATAATTATTTGCCTTTTTTATTGGGGCTACGGATTTTACATTTAAATGTAGGGTGGACTTTTCTCTAGCATTTAGCTGTTATTGAAATACTTTTTCTTAAGCGTTTATGTCATCGCACAATGCGACTTCTGCCACAGATTGTATTAATTCCCAGTTATTATGTGTAATAAACTGAATAATAATAATTATTATTGTATTCTGGTTTTCTCTTACCTGTATATCTTTGTACGCCTCCTCCAAAACTTGAGCTTTGAGCTGTAACTTCTCCTTCTTGGGTAGATCAGGTTCCACCAAAGGCCAGTCTTTCGCTTCCTCCTTTTCAAGCTCAAAGACAACCTCATCGTCTGTTATCGTACATTTGCTACGGTCTGTGACTATTTTATCGAAAAGTAACACCTCGAAAAAGTGCCTGTCGTAAGTAACTTTCACGTATCTGGACGCAATGAAAATGTCCGCCTTTGCAGGGTGGACCTTGCGAATCGGTGCTTGGATGGTAACATTTTGCGGGGTCTGTTTCCACTTGAAGTCTTTTATTACTATAGGCATGTTGTGCGTGAAGTAGACAGAATTGATTGTCAAATCGTTTGGTGGAGGTTAAAAGTTTGATCGATACTGGCGCTCGCTTCCTTTTATTAAATGGGGCCAGCCGGGGATTACTTAACTTGAAAAGTGACATTGTCGTTCCTTCTGACTATGTAGCTATGCCATCAGGACGTCAACTTGGAACTAGCTGTCGTTCACTTCGTGCTCATTTGTAGCAAGCGCGGAATGAACTATTTGCACACTAACCTACTTAGTCAACAAGTTGACATTCTATGTTTTTTTTGACATTGAATATTTTTTTTATGGAATAACCCTGCTGGGCGGATCCAATATGTCGCACACGACGCACTGTGCGTCGGGCGCCAGAACTCAAGGGGGCTTCATAATAGATAAAGTGGATAAAATTTGTGTGCACACTTCCCCCCTTTTCAACTATACAGGGGCGTCATACGAACGTTGTGGTTCGAGCCGCATATGTCCTAGATGCCACTGATATGATGCCAGAATAGATTGTTACATCCATTCTTTAAGAATATGATGATGATGATGATAATGATGATGATGGTGATGATGATATGGTCGTTTTTTCCCTCTTGCGTTGGAAAAAAACGCTATCGAAATGCGTACGTTTTTTATACCGTAGTAGCCTCACATGCAGAAGCCTAAATACCAGGGAACCGCGGCAGCAGCAGCAGCAGCAGCAGCAGCAGCAATGGAGTGCTTAATGGGGCAAAGGATCGGTCCTATCGACCGGTTGTAAAGAAAATTTACTTGTGGCTTGTACTAATATATGAGATACTGTCTTCCGTGAAAGTTTCAAATATGAAATACTCATACTACTTCACATTACATACTTTTGTTCCATAAAAGTACTAGTGGTAATATTTTTCTTGTTATTTCAAATCCATTTAATATAAGTAAGGTAGAATTCAATAGGGCAAGTTTCTTGTTACTATTGCATAGATAATAAAGGGTCAAATGATGGTAGCAACAGCCAAAGGAAGCAAATGATATTCGTCAGAGGAAGACTTTTTGCTGTATTAATTTTAATATCGCCTTTACTTTCAATGAATGCAAGGATAGAAAATGTCTCTCAAGCACGTCAATTTTTAATAATTTTTAACAGATTGAATAAAAAAGTGTGATTTTATACATTAAAGTTTGTTGTAAAACACGATTTTTTGCAATAATAATTTTCTTTATACATCAGTACTTAAGGTGCTATTCTATTTCCGGAGATTCGTTTTCAACCTTTGCTACTGCAACGATTCATATGTGTTTGGTATGGCTACATTATTCAACAGTGGAAACACTTTTGATCTCTCAATAGCCCAATGCTTGAAGAAAGTCGTCTAAGGTCTTCCTAAGTGTTATATTCAGTGCTTGGATAACCAAGAGAGATTTTTCAAAATTTGGGCAAGACATGTTTGAAACACTAAGTAATTCAAATTACTGGTGTGGATTCCTCTCACCATTTTTTCGATTCTGACACAGAATCCTTGATGACTATATCTCATGTTTCTTGCGAAATGATACCATGCTGGATAAACGGCATCAGCTTGGCGTTTGTTATCAGAGCTGCTAGTTTTTCAATGGTTTTTAAATTGAGACTGACATGCATTCGAACTGCTCTGGAAAGTGTGCATGGGAATATAAAGTGCAATAGAATGATATTGGTGATGAGCACTACTTTAACTCAGCTACAAGGAGTAACTCGACTGGGTCACTGAAGAGCAGCTCTAAATAACAGGAACGCGAAGATTTGTAGAATACGTCTTTTGTTTTAGATGTGAAACTGCGATCCTGACACAGAATTTTCAATGTCTGAATATCGCATATTTGAATAGACGTTCGAAGCTGAACAGATGGGATTGTGGATGCGTCATATGTTTATGATGTAGAGCTGGTGTGAAATTTAGACTACTGGCGTACATGCCTCTCACCGTGCGCCGTTTATGCGATCCTGATTACAAAATCTCGCACGTCGGGAGGCGTTCTTCGAAAAAACGATATCAAACTGAATGTATACCTATATGAGGATAACAGAAACGCGAAAAGGTGTAGAATACGTCCTTTACTCCTGATGTGGAACTGCTGTGAAATTCTCATTACTGGTGTGCACACCTCTCTTGAATGATGCGATCCTGACACGAAATTCTCATGACTGTATATTGCATATTTGAATAGACGTTCCTTGTAGAATGATACCACACTGAATAGAGGGGATTTGCTATGAGGTTAGCACAACTGGTGGGAAATTTAAATTACTCGTGCACATTCCTCTCGCTGCGCGCGATTTCTGCGATCCTGATCAGAAAATATCTCACGTCTGTATACGTTCTATACAAAATTATACCAAACCGAATGGATAGAATATGAGGATAATAGAAATCCGAGGAGGTGTGTAGTGCTTCCTTTACTGCATATAAAAAAAAGTATGGGAAAATTCAAGTTACTGGCGCACCTACTTCTCATCGTTTCTGAGATCCTGATATAGAATTCTTAGTGCCCGAGTATCGCACAATCATGCTAAACCGAGTTGATGGGATTTGCAGCTAGGAGAACAGAAACGCGAGGTTGTGTGGATTACGTCTTTTGCTCCTGATCTGGAACTGGTGTGAAATTCTAACTACTAATGTAAGTACCTCTCTCCATTGCTGCAATCCTGATACAGAATTCTCAATCGCTATATATATCGAATATGTGAATAGACGTTCCTTGTAGAATCATACCAAACTGAATAGATAGGATTTGCTATGAGCATAACAGAAATGCAAGGGTAACAGAAACGAGAGGAGCTGTTAATGCGCCATTTGCTTCTGATGTAGAACTGATGGGAAATTTAAATTACTGGTGTACATATCTCATTAGGGAAACAGAAACGTGAGGAGGTGTGGATTACGTCCTTTGCTCCTGATGCAGAAGCGCGAGGAGGTGTGGATGCGTCATTTGCACCTGTAGAAATGGAGCGAAATTTAAATTACATACCTCTCGCCGCTCGCCATTTCTGAGATACTGATTCCAAAATATTGCATGTCGGGATACGTTCTATGCAAAACTATACCAAACCGAATGGATAGAATATAAGGATAACAGAAAGCCGAGGAGGTGTTGACTGCATAAAAAACTTTAGGAAACTTATCGTGGTTTCTGTGATCCTGATATAGAATTCTCAGTGACCGAGTATCGCACATTCAGCTGATATTGTTTGCAAAATGATGTGGAACTGATGGGAATTCAAATTATTGAGGGGTATACTTCTCGTTGCTCCTACGATACTGATACAAAATTCCAGGTGGCTGAAGCATCGAACATACTTTAATTGGATGAGTAGGGTTTGCTATCCGGATGACAGACACGCAAGAAGGTATGGGTATGGAAGATGTACTACCTCCTGATGTACAAGTTGCTGGAAACTCAGATTATTGGTGTCCATGCTTGTCATAATTCCTTAAAATTGATGGGATTTGCTATTAGGAAATCAGAAACTCGAGAAGGTGTGGAATACATTCTTTGCTTCTGATGTGGAACTGCTGTGAAATTCTAATTACTGGTGTGCACACAAACCTCTATTCAATGCTGCGATCCTGACACGAAATTCTCTATGGCTGTATATCGCATTGAATAGACGTTCCTTGTAGAATGATACCAAACTGAATAAATGGGATATGCTATGAGCATAATAGAAATACAAGGGTAATAGAAACGCGAGGAGCTCTGGATGCGCCATTTTCTTCTGATGTAGAACTGATGGGAAATTTAAATTACTGGTGTACATGTCTCATTAGGAAAACAGAAACCCGAGGAGGTGTGGATTACGTACTTTGCTCCTGATGTGGAACTGGTGTGAAATTCTAATTACTGGTGTATTCTACACATTGCTGCGATCCGGACACATAATTCTCAATGGCTATATGTCCAATATGTGAATAGACGTTCCTTGTAAAATGATGCCAAACTGAAAATAGATGGGAATTGCTATCAGGATAGCAGAAGCGCGAGGAGGTGTGGATGCGTCATTTGCTCCTGATGTAGCACTGGAGCGAAATTTCTGAGATCCTGATTCCAAAATATCGCACGTCGTGATACGTTCTATGCAAAAGTATACCAAACCGAATGCATAGAATATGAGGATAACAGAAAGCCGATGAGGTGTGGAGTACTTTACTGCATACAAAACTTTGGGAAAATTCAAGTTACTGGCATGCCTACTTCTCGTCGTTTCTGCGATCCTGATATAAAATTCTCAGCGACCGAGTATCGCACATTCAGCTGATGTTCTTTGCAAAATGATGTGGAACTGATGTGAATTCAAATTATTGATGGGTATACTTCTCGTTGCTCCTACGATCCTGATCTAAGATTCCAGGTGGCCATTCGAACACACTTTAATTGGATGAGTAGGGTTTGCTATCCGGATGACAGACACGCAAGAAGGTATGGGTATGGAAGATGTACTACCTCCTGATGTACAAGTTGCTGGAAACTCAGATTATTGGTGTCCATGCTTGTCATAATTCCTTAAAATTGATGGGATTTGCTATTAGGAAATCAGAAACTCGAGAAGGTGTGGAATACATCCTTTGCATCTGATGTGGAACTGTTGTGAAATTCCAATTACTGGTGTGCACACACACGTCTATTCAATGCTGCGATCCTGACACGAAATTTTCTATGGCTGTATATCGCATTGAATAGACGTTCCTTGTAGAATGATACCAAACTGAATAAATGGGATATGAGCATAATAGAAATGCAAGGGTAACAGAAACGCGAGGAGCGCCATTTGCTTCTGATGTAGAACTGATGGGAAATTTAAATTACTGGTGTACATGTCTCATTAGTAAAACAGAAACGCGCGGAGGTGTGCATTACCTACTTTGCTCCTGATGTGGAACTGGTGTGAAATTCTAATTACTGGTGTATTCTACACATTGCTGCGATCCTGACACATAATTCTCAATGGCTATATCCAATATGTGAATAGACGTTCCTTGTAAAATGATATCAAACTGACAATCGATGGGAATTGCTATCAGGATAGCAGAAGCGCTAGGAGGTGTGGACGCCTCATTTGCTCCTGATGTAGCACTGGAGCGAAATTTAAATTACTGGCGTACCTACCTCTCGCCGCACGCCATTTCTGAGATCCTGATTCCAAAATATCGCACGGCGGGATACATTCTATGCAAAACTATACCAAAAAGAATGGATAGAATATGAGGATAACAGAAAGCCGATGAGGTGTGGAGTGCTTACTGCATACAAAACTTTGGGAAAATTCAAGTTGCTGGCATGCCTACTTCTCGTCGTTTCTGAGATCCTGATATAAAATTCTCAGCGACCGAGTATCGCACATTCAGCTGATGTTCTTTGCAAAATGATGTGGATCCTGATCTAAGATTCCAGGTGACTATTCGAACATACTTTAATTGGATGAGTGGGGTTTGCTATCAGGACAACAGACCCGCAAGGAGGTATGGGTATGGAAGATATACTACCCTCCTGATGTAGAAGTTGCGGGAAACTCAGATTATTGGCGTCTATGGTTGTCATCATCACTTAAAATTGATGGGATTTGCTATTAGGAAATGAGAAACTCGAGAAGGTGTGGAATACGTCCTTTGCTTCTGATGTGGACTGCCGTGAAATTCTAATGACACCTCTATTCAATGCTGCGATCCTGACACGAAATTCTCTATGGATGTATATCGCATTGAATAGACGTTCTTTGTAGAATGATACCAAACTGAATAGATTGGATTTGCTATGCGCATAACAGAAATGCTTCTGATGTAGAACTGATGGGAAATTTAAAATACTGGTGTACGTACCTCTCTTCATTGCTGCGATCCTGACACAGAATTCTCAATGGCTATATATCCATTATGTGAATAGATGTTCCTTGTAAAATGATACCAAACTGAAAATAGATGAGAATTGCTATCAGGATAGCAGAAGCGCGAGGAGGTGTGGATGCGTCATTTGCTCCTGATGTAGCACTGAAGCGAAATTTAAATTACTGGTGTACATACCTCTGGCCGCACGTCATTTCTGAGATCCTGATTCCGAAAGATCGCACGTCGGGATACGTTCTATACAAAATAATGCCAAACCGAATGGATAGAATATGAGGATGGCAGAAATCGAAGGAGGTGTGGAGTGCTTTATTGCATATAAAACTTTGGGAAAATTCATCTTACTGGCATGCCAACTTCTCCTCGTTTCTGCGATCCTGATATAGAATTCTCAGTGAATGAGTATCGCACATTCAGCAGATGTTCTTTGCAAAATGATGTGGAACTGATGAGAATTCAAATTATTGATGGATATACTTCTCGTTGTTCCTAAGATCCTGATACAGGAGTCCAGGTGGCTGAAGTATATTCGAACATACTTTGATTGGATGAGTAGGATTTGCTATCAGGATAACAGAAACGCGAGGAGGTATGGGTATGGGAGATGTATTACCCTCCTGATGTAAACGTGGCGGGAAACTCAGATTATTGGCGCCTATGCTTCTCGTCATTCCCGTGACCATATAAGGCATTAAATGGTGTGATCTGAACGCCATTTATATGTATATCCTTCTAGAAATGTCATTGGCAAGATATAGTTTGGTGACGGACTTTAAAAGTTTTTGATAGTTGATGATGCTATAGACCCGTATAAGGTTCAATAAAATTATGAAAATATTTTCGTAAATATTTATTACGTAATTATCACATGGTATCAAAGTCACTGAAGTTTGTAATTTGGTGTAGGTACAATAAAGAAATCGCATACCAAACCGCCAAATTAGTATAATTTTTAAACTGTGATTTTTATTGTCACGTGATCTCATTTAATCGAATAATAATTTAATAAAATCATTCAAATTTAATTTTTTTATTTACTTAAATATATGATTACATAGTTAACATTTATTTCATCCTTTTTTTTCTATATTTATTGACTGGTTTAGATATATTTTTATTGCAAGTTTATTTACATTCGTTTGTTTTTACTTACATCTTTAAAATGAAACATCAACTTTACGTAATCATACACAAATTTTATGATATTATTTTTGAAGCCATAGCAGCCTTAAATGTAGAAAACTTGCACCAAATTTGGTATACATACTTCATACACACTCGTCTACATAAAAAATGACACACGTGCGATGAATACAAAATACACTTCCAAAATACGGCTTACGAATCATCTCTGATCTAACAAACTAAAGCCTACATTGATTTCTCAGAATATGAGTGAGTCACATGTAAAATTTGTTAGGGTCATCAAAAGTTAAAGCTGTGGCCTTAAACAGTTTTCAGGCATAATCATCAACACAGGCTTAGTGGAGATACTTAGGGTTTACCAATTCAGATACGAAAAGTCATTGATGGTCTAGAAAGTGTAAAAATCATAGCTTACTGTTAAACGTCAAGTCTTTTTGTACAAGGTGCAAGATATATTTTTATATCACCATGTAGCGAGAATCGATTTGGGCGTTGGATTTCAACCCCCTATTCTTTCATTTAGGAAACGACTGTTTGCTGCATCCTAACATCATTTTTTTCTAAACGTGTTTCACTATAAACCAATTTATTATTTTTTTTTATTAATTTCTCCGTTATTCAGTTTTACAGTATGTCTAAAAAATTATCGGGTCTATACAGTGTGAGTCTTCATAAAGTGCACATATCAAAATCAGGGAAACTACACTCTATTTCATCGACGGATAAATCATCAAAAAAACATGAATTTGATTTTTTATGAATATATGAATATTCTAAAATTTTTTGTAGTAGCTTCTAACCATATTGAAATAACTCGTTACAACTTTTAAACTAAATGTCCTATCATATTGGAATACATTTTGTAGTGATTGCTGGTAAAAGGACGTGCCTGAAAAGTGAAGAATTCCAGGAAAAGTAATGACATCCATTTAGAATAAAGAAAATTTTGATGAAAATCTGTTTTTTTCATCATTTTTACAATAATTTCAAATTTTCTATAAATATCGTCCCTTGTACCCTACCTTTTTTTATTTGTAAGTTATTCTACATGTTATCAGCTTTATAAAAGTAAAAATTAAACCAATTATTTTGTAATCGTGTGACGAATAAAGGCCATTTATTATTATTATTATTATTATTATTATTATTGTTTATCATGTAGATACCTTTTTTGGTAATTCAATGTAGAGTCGCGCGGGCTGAAGTACGAGTGGGGAGGCGGGCCCAGTTGAAAATCAATTGAATGTTGAGCAGTTAGGCAGATATTTGTGTTTCTCCTGCCAAATTTATCAGTTTCGTTTGCTAGATATCACGCTTTCGCTTTTTGGTCGCGATGCCACGTATAAGTGATTTCCCTCCGGCACACATTGTCGATATCCATTATTATTATGGAATGTACCGAGGGAGTGCTAGAGCTGCTTGCACAGCTTATCTAGCTGCATTTCCAACTGTTCCATCAGCCCGTAACTTCCAAGAAGTACATAGAAGACTGGCTAACACTGGACTTGGTTTGCCTCGAGATCGCCGCGAACCAGGTGTTATTATTCATGTTGCTATCGAAGAAGCCATTTTGGATGATTTGTTTGCTGACCCGACTACTAGTACGAGACGTTTGGCGTTACGTCATGGCGTATCCCAGAAATCGGTTTGGCGCATCTTGAGAAAAGCAGGGTTGCATCCATACCATTATCAAAGGGTGCAGCACTTGCATGAAGATGTGGATTGGCGTCCAAGGTGCGTTATGTCTACATGGATTTTAATAAAAACAAGAGACAATCCTGAATTCCCGAAAACAATTCTGTGGACAGACGAATCTCAATTCACGAGAGACGGCATCGTGAACTGTCGTAATTTACATAAGTGGTGCCCAAAAGATGAAAACCCTAGGCTGAAAAGTGCTTCAACATTTCAAGAGAAATTTTCTGTAAATCTCCCGAGGACATCAAACGGAGAGAGATTTCTGGATCTTTTGCGGACTGAACTGCCCTTGCTGTTGGAAGAAGTGCCGCTGCAAAGCCGTCGAAGAATGATGCTTCAAATGGATGGATGTCCTGTCCATTACTCGCTGATTGTCAGGTCTTTTTTAATAAAAATTATCCAGGCCGCTGGATCGGTCGACAAGCACCTGTTGGGTGGCCGGCGCGTTCCCCAGATCTCACACCTCTCGACTATTTTTTATGGGGGATAATGAAACAAAGGGTGTACAGCAGTTCCATAAACAGCGAAGCGGAACTTGAAGAAAGAGTTTTGCGTGTTGCAAACGAAATCAAAAATGATCCCGAGATGATTCGTAAGGCAACTCATCAAATTTCACAATGTGTTTGCAGCAACGGGGTGGCTATTTTGAACATTTGATGCATTAAGCCAAAATGATTATCCTATAGACAAGTGTATTTGATTTTATTTGTTAAGGATAATGAATGATTCATGTAGGTAAATACTGTTGTTTTATTCCTACTCTGGCGTTGAACTGAGTTCACTGCTTTTTGAAACGCTGATTTAAAAACTTGTATCTAAGTAATAAACTTGCAATTTTTCACCATTAGGAAGCTAATAACATGTAGAATAACTTAACATTTAAAAAAGGTAGGGTAAATAGGACAATTTTTATTGAAATTTAGCAATTGTTTTAAAAATCATTGAAAAATAGTGAGTTTCAGCATATTCCTCTTTATTTTAAATTTATTTCATATTTATTCCAATATGATAGGACATTCAGTTTAAAAGTTGTAACGATTTATTGAAATAGGGTTAGCAGCTGACTCTAAAAATTTTAAAATATTCATAAAAAATCAATTATTGTTTTTAATTTTTTTTTGATAATTTTTCCGTCAATAAAATAAGGTGTAGTTTCCTTGATTTTGCTATGTGCACTTTATGAAGACTCACACTGTATTGTTGTCATTATTATAAAACGTACTAAATTCACTCGACAGATTTTAGCGCTTCGCTCACATTCTGAGAAAAATAACATAAAATACCAAATATACTGTGAGAAAAACATCAACAATATAACAGCAACAACAATTTATAGCAACAACAATTGTAAATCGTTAGAAAATCACTCAAACCAATGTTCTGTTGTGTGATTCGTTCACCATAATTACTTTTTGGTACATTTTTATAGTTTTACCTCCACAGCGCAAATACTCACGTTCATAAAGCAATCAAAGGCCTTTTATCCTTTCTCTCGTTTACTTTTTGAGTTCAGTCGATTATTACGTTGTTTGCTTTTAAAAAAAGCATAACACTCTATTCTCCCGTAAACCAATGTTTGAAATACGTCGAGCGTTATGTTGCTTTTAAAAATGCGAGCTTTTCATGCTTTTGTGATGCAAGAATTGGCATTATATCTAATTATATATTTATAGTTCAGAATCTCATGTAATAACACAACCTTGGGCATCGAAAGGTAACAGGTACTTCTAAATGTTGACCGATTTTTCCTGTAAATATCTTCAACTGTCTAAGACTAAAAATTGTAAAATGAAGCAACATGTCCCGTACTAACGCATCTCAGTAATTTTCGGGATGGACGCTGGGAGTTAAATCCCGTATATGTCAGCGTCAAACGCTGAAATCCGTCATTCCCTAAAATGCCTAGTCAGTCCTCGTATAGTTTGATTATTACAACGTTTGATTAAGCATTTCAGTTATTCCCTGTAATGACTGAACAATTTCAGTCAAACGCAGTAACAACCACATTAACTTCGTTACGGCATTTGCCTGATTCAGTCATTCATTGTACCAGTTTTGTGTTCATTTACTTGAGTATACACATCGTATTTTCTGTGTTCGTAAAAATGTCGTAGCATTCAGAATTGTCTTACAAGAAACTCAGTGAATACTATGACAGTGTGAATAAGAAAAAACCATGGAATACAAATGAGTTAAAGGAGGTAAGTTAATTTTTATAATTTTGTGAACCTAACCTAAATTATAACGTACATAGGGTTGCTCAACACCAGCATCCAGTTGCTGGATTTCGCATACACCTTAGGAAAAACCATTGTTATACATGGGAAATCATTTCTTGGCAACAGCGCATCGGCTCGTCTACTTTCATCGCTATTCGTACATATTTCCTACCGTTAACCGCAGACCTGTATCACGAATGAGAATAATAGGCAGATACGCTGTGTTTCCAATTTGAGTAGAGCTTCCCGAATTGTGGGGAATTTAGAGTTAAGTGTTGATTCATTCAAGCTTTTAATCAGCATGGCCTAGACGTTAGAACTTCATAAAGATAACATTGAAGCTGAATGCTGCTGGACTATAGTGTTTCGAATATTAAAAGCGGAGCGGGACACTATACTCGTTCAATGGGTCATCAAGCCACAGTCTTTTCAAAAAAGAAATTATTTTACGAAAATGCGTTATATTTTTACGATTTTGTCGTCACCAAATCTCTGTTTCTCAAAATGTACGTCTATTGTAGAATTTTCAGCAAAATAAGCAAGAAACGTGATCTAGTATTTACTCAACATTACGGATTTCTCGAAATACATTAAAAAATGTGACCTAGATACCTAACTGCCCCAAGCTCTGTAAATATAACACCTTAAACCAGGGTTACCAGGTGCTCAGTCACGTTGATTGTCATGTTGTACTGCGCAAGTCAGCAAACAATCTGGCGTAATAAACGTTAGGAATCATCAGGTATTGCCAGATTCCCGAATACCGGTCACCATAGTAACCGTTATAGTTGTCCTTCAAAGTTGTCAAATCGCCCCTATGGCGCAAATTCGCCACACCAGGCAACTGTGCTATAAACAAACCCTGTTTATCACTACTATTTGATAGTCAAATGGTAGTTGTAGCCCTATCTAGCGGTCCATGATTTCAATACTGTTGTATCTCTACTGGCAACAAGAATTGGGATTACAAAATTATTTATACAACAATATACAAACATGAAAAATATGATTTGAACCATGAAACATTAATACAATTTTAATAGTTTGAACTTTTTTCATTTTTGGAATACTCTTATGTGGAATCCGCAGCTATTTTTCCCGAAATTTGGGTAGACTTAGATTACTTAGAAATATGACATATTGGTATCGGCAACTCTGCGAATGGGAGAAACAAATCGCATTTGTTGAGCGCATCCATCTAAGCGGTAGGCGCCAGCGCCCGTTCTGCCATCTCTCTCTTTTATCACTCTTCTACTTTACCCCGTTGTCCGTCACACTCCGACGCTGCCAGATAGAATCCTACAATCGAGTGTCTTTCACGCACCTACATACTTTTGTATATTTCCATCTCTCTTCCTCATCATAATGTATAATAATGGTTTTTCCCAAGGTGTATATAGTAAAAACTTGATTACTAAAACAATAATATAATAATAAAGATAACGTTTTTAATCTATTCTTCTTTCCTTTTAGATTAATTTATGCTTCATTTAATATTATTGATATATTATGAACTTTATTGGAGCACTGTATTGATTACAGCGTTTAACTAAAATGGGCAAATGCAGTAACGAAGTTAATGTGGTTTTACGGTGTTTGACTGAAATTGTTCAGTCATTGCAGGGAATGATTGAAATGCTCAGTCAAACGTTGTAAC